CGGTCACAACTATTAAAGTCGAAATCTCTAGACATCAAATATGACGGCCGAGATAAAAAATCAGCCGACGTCATATTTAATGGTGATAACAAACGCGGTACTGCGGCTGGATCTAGGCATGCAGCTTACCGTTCTGCATACTTCACGAATGCTAGGATCATGAAGCATACTTTTAAAAAATTATGAGGTGCAAGGTTCACACTTATCACTATGCTCCTTACAGCTGTTGTCACTCCAAAGTTTGCAGGAACCCCATTCAGTCAAAGGGAAATAGACAGCATTATGGGTGCGTCTGCTAAGCACTACTTTCACAACATCCGGTGTAAAGTCGCTAGGCATTTCAAGCCTAAAGCGTTCGTAAGTCAACTGATGCACACCAATCTTTCCTAGTGCCTGAATACCATTGGCAACTACTTTAGTATCTAGTTTCGCAGCTCTCTGCTTCCGGCTTTCGGATGATATACTTGAGAAGGTATTCAGACTTGTGGATTTGTTGACTTTCCTTGCCACTAAATAACGGCTTCCGTGGGTACCACTCGGACCTCTGTTTTCTCCCCATAGGACATCCTCAGCATTTTTAAGGAACTCAACTACCGATTACTTTTCATCTTGTCACCAAAACCTAAAAAATCAGTTGAGAAATCTCCACAAGCCTCCAGATAAATATATTTTCAACTGACAAACAGTCGGCAGAAATAAGGGATTGCGATTTTCCGACTGTCTTCCGTGTAACGCTTTGAGTTGATTACAATTGGCTGATATTGGCTGAGCCATCGGTAAGTTCAGGACAGTTATTGGGTATGTTGGCGTCTGTGTCCCAACAAGACTGGTGCATTCTTCTCTGACTGACGGTTTCTTCAGCAACTCGTCCTATACGTCTAGGTTTTGCGGTAAAACAAAAGGATCACAAGACTGATAAATCTAGCAACCATTTGGCGGCTTTCAAAGAGAACAAGGACCAGGCAGCACAATTTCTGGTGCTTTCTGAGGAGTGTGAAGCAACTACGTGGAGCATCGAGCACATCAGCGGCTTTAAGAAGTATATTTCTAACGGCTTTGATGAGCATTTTACCGGGGGTATTGTATAAAATGGCTCCTTGACCGGCCACATTGCGCCTAAGGACTTCGGAAGATATCTAACCGACAAAATTTTCCTCTTTGGAAACAGGATTATGCTGGGTCCCCATTTTTCTTATCATATTAGAAGAGTTTGTAAAAGCCCTACTAGTAAGTTGCTTCGGTTTATTAATACCTTGTGCATCTCGTATAACTCCTAGAACCTTTACAAAACTTGATTCGACTAAGTAAGACTCGGAAAGAATTTCGCTAACCTGTGATTGCAATTCACGAATGGCAGATACAAAGTGTGGAAACACTGTAAAGTCAACTTTGAAAACCGTCGGTCTAGTCTCGATATTGGGAAGGACAGGGGACATGGTAAACATTTCCCTTGTTTGTTCACCAATAATTTTACCTCAGTTTCGAGACACAATAAGTCTCCGTTTACAGGATTTGGCGACGCGATATCCCTTAAACTGACTGCTGGTGCAGATGCGACTTTCAAGTTGCTTGTGCTGACCGTGCTGTCATGATTGTTTTTCGCTACATCAGTCTGAGTGATCAAGGTAGGGGTGGCATAAACCGATTTTCTAAAATTTCGACTCAGACTACTAATGCTTTGCCGAGCGTAGATAAAGTCGAAGGATCATAGTCAGCTAGGTTGTTACACAAACAGATGGATATCAGTAACAATATCTAGTAATTGATGTCCAGGAAGCCGAGGATTTGATAGAACGGACACAGATAGGCACCTTCAGCGTTCGAAAGTTAGAAAATGGACGATGTAAAGTGATACTTGGTGATGGTTGAAGGTGAAACGAAAACTTGGACCGCGGCTGGATGAGCAGCAACAAAGTAGCAGTCAAGAGATCACACGTAAATGCGACGCAGGCTGTGAACGTAGGATCACCTGAGTACCTTATTTCGAGGTCATAGACTCTTTTGAGGGGAGGCATTTTCACACAGTTAAGACGTGGCTGGATGTCTAGCTTGGGGGGGTAAAAACATATCCGACTATATTTGTTTGTGTCGGACTGAAGTTTCGGAACCGCATATCATCCGATATTACATCAAGCACACTTTGTACCAATGCTTGGAACTAGGATAGGTCAGCACAAGTGAAAGTTTGTGCAACTTTGGGGTTATCATCAGACAGAAATGGTCTGCCGTGCACAAAAGAAGCTACGGTTGTCATTTACGTATAGGCAAAAGGAAGGGGACCTATAGCACTATCTTGGACCACATCGGAGGTAACTGGCGTAGGTTTCGGAATGTATGAGTCAATTTTACCACTCGGTTGAGATCACTAAGAAAAAACCTAATGCATTCTAATAAAGGACGGTCAATTCCTCGGGGCTGCGACTTGCTTATTAAGAGTTCGCGATCAGCTGTGTTAAATGACTTTGAAATGCCTAGAAAAAGTATAATGACTAATTAGTTTCGTTCACGTATAGTGGTTATGAGCTTTAAAAAAATCAAAAGTACAAGTGGTGCAGGACCTCAGCTTCAGAAACTTGTGTTAACTCAGCTTGATCATGTTGTTATTACGCACGTGCGGAAGAACGCCTTCCTGAATAATTTTTTAGAATTTCAGAAACAGCGAGCGCATTAGTTATCAGTATATGGCTACTAGCAAGTTCTTCCCATCCGAATTTATAACCAAGAAGGATAAACGGTGTCTTCAAAATGCCAGGGTATGTGAAATCAATATGAAAGTAAAACTTGGGCACTGTGGCCGAATGCAATTCCACTTCCAAATCTCCACGACTCCCTCAAAAAATTCCATTTTAGTCTGTTTACAAGAAATATCACGCAGTGATATGAATATGGACAATAAATTGTCCGAAACGTTATCCAGCAAATGCTACTGTTTCACTGTGTGATGTTTCTAATAAACAGACCAAAAAAGGTATGTGGAAGACGGAAGGACAGAAAATGTCTGGGCTATCATATTTAGAGAAATGCGGTGATACTCCGTCTGTGTCAGTGCTACTGGAGCATTTTAGCTTATTGATGGCTTGGTTAGTGTCAGAATATGTGAATTCGACCGTAGCTATTGGCCCTGGTCGAGGAGAAGAGTTGTTTTTTATGGCACAGACTGTGTTAGCATCACAGGAAAGATTCGTAGGCTCCGGATGGTTAAGTGTAAATGTGTCACTGAATACTTCACGCATGCCTATCGGGTTATTATAAACCTTGTCGTCGCTAATAAGAATAGGAATGTTTTGTTCTACGCAGTTCGTTCGCTTCTTGAGGGGTGCGGATACGGCATATATTTTTGATGAGATAGCTGGTGGACTACTCTCCTCAGTCTTCATATGCATATCATGGTATACGAGATAGAATTCGGAACACTAAGAATCGCTCGTAGTCCATCAGAGTCATGGCGTCGGTGGCATGTAATCGAAAGATTGCGCAACTCTCTGCATTTCCGCTCTTGCTCTCTCCATGGAGGGTCGGCAACGTCACTCCTGGTGGTTGAAGTCTAGTTAGGCTTGCAAAAGACACGGTGCTGTCAACATGATTTACATTTGTTGTGACGTTTGCTATTGCGGGCTTATCAAATGTTATTTCCATTATAATTAACGCTGACTGGCCTAGCTTACTTGATTATCTTTTTCTTGCGTATGACTGGAGTATAAGCTGATTCATTTGCGCCGTTGCAAGGGGAGTCTGCTGTTGGTGTTACTGACATTCGGGTATCACCACTGCACCGTTCTACGATAAGTCGGTCCGCACATTTTTGCGTAAATCATGCATATCTAGCCGCAAAGCTGAAGTTTGGCCGGTTATCTAGGAGCGTAAGTAGCTTTGCGACCACATAAGTAGCTCAACTATGTTGCGGTTACGAAACCACATTAAAATGTGACGCAGTTTTGAGAGCACCACGCAATGAAGGTATGTCCTTGGGAAGTTGATCAAAATTGTAAGCTTATATTCAACTGAGAAAATGAGTCTCTACGGTGCCTATCTATCAGTGAAGTGGCTAGCAAAAGAAAGAGAATGTCCTCGAAGAAGACGCATGAAACATTTAAAAGACAACGTTCTTCGCTGCACCAAAATCTTCGCTCAAAAGATTAGGGTTAAATGTGGAAACGCAGCCGGAAATTAATCTACCGGTCGTGCAGCCAGCCGAACCGGAGAAAGATTGTGCGCAGTCGACCACGTAGGAGCAGAAAACCTTAAAAGGATTGGAAAGCAAGAAAGACGCTGTTACACTCCATTTACACAAAGGGTGCATCACTGCTTGTTTGGATAACCAAGTGACATGAACGAGGCCAGGGATTCCCTTATAGATGGGAATCCCTGTCAACAACATGAGAAGACCCCTTTCCGAGTTTTGACGATCAGGACACCGAAGCCAAAGTAAGAACCCATGACAAGTGGAGAACCGAATCGAACGAACCTGTTCTTCTTCGACTCTACGACGGACCAAAACTATGTAAACCAGGCATTCAACTAATAATCTCACTGACTGCAACCTAGGCCTACAGTCTATCTCGAGGGCGTTTCAGGTAATTGAAATGCCCTCCGAAGCCATGAATTTCTTTCATCAGAGCATTGACCGAACTTTCGTCAGTGGCTAAATGAATTTACATAACAACGACGGATTATTGTTGTTCTTCGTCGTCATGTTTTACTCACATCACAACTGGATTGGGATACTATTCCTCTCCTCATCACCGACGGCGCAAAGCCTTTGGAACGCTTACAAACTTAGTATTCACTTGTGATGGACCTTAGTTTTCTTTGTTAAAACGATACTTCCAGTTTTATAGTAATGCATATAAATAGGTGGAAAGTTACCCTTTTTCATGAAAGTGATCACCAGGAGTCCCTGGACATATTGAATCAAAATTCGAAGAAAGGTGAATTATTTCTTCAGGCCTTATGAGTGGGTGAGGTGAAATAATCTGGCCTAACAACGCCATGAACACCGAATGTTGAATATCAGCGGGCTGTTTATCTTCAGGGTCGTTGTACCACTTCAAGGTAACTCGTGCATGTTTGGATTCTGTGTTAATGTTGTGTTCATATTTCATTGTGAACTGTATGTTTTGTGTGGTTCTAGATACTTAAGTATGTTTACACATCATGGGGTACTATCAGTCAGTGTAATTCTAAAGTTTGGAAACTAAGTCGGGAAACATACTTTGATAAACGGGTACCTAAGCCTGTTTACACTAAGCTGTGTTTAAAAAAAGGGGGTAACCATTTTCTATAACTTGGGATCATCCATTATGTTAGTCACTGAAACAAACTAACTTTACCTGCAACACTGCTTTCACCAGGAGGTCTAGTCAACATTTTCGTCTGGCCTTTAAGGTTCATGTGGTAAGCGTTGTCGTCTCACAAAGGTAGCTCTTCTGGTTGCACTATGTTGACCTTGGAATCTTTCATGACAGGGCGAATTCTTGTATATCAGGCAGAGAAAGAATAGAACTCCAACGAATCTAAACAGAAGTGGACCAAATGAACAAGTAAACACAAGCACGTCCTGAGTTAGTTTCCTACATTGTTGGGCCACTTACCACAGAAAACGTCAGGCTAAATGTATGGGATAGCACGAGGCTTTGCAGCATTTCCCACACATCTGACCCGACCATTTGGGCCCTCCATTTGACCCCATGTATAGCATATTTAACCCTACGTCTGAGTTTTTACAATTAGGCGAGCTTGTGACCCGACATGTTTCAAGATAGCTCTAATCTTGCTGCATTGGTCCGGCGTTTGTCGTCATATTCTACGATGTTAAGTGGGAGGGGACCTTATCGAAACAGCACCTTTTACAGTCAGCATCAGGTTCAGGTCCAACTTATTTTTTTCAAGTGTTTGCCTTAACGCTGACCTGCCTAACAGAGTGGAAGTCTATAAAGAGCTCCAAGTCTTGAAACTCCACAATACACTTGGCCTATACAATTTAACCCCTAAATCTTTTTAAGGATAGAGAAACGACTCTAGTCAGGGAACTGTCTGGGTTGTTTGAGAAAGTTTGGCGGACTGATGGTGTTCTGTCACTCTGAAATAGAGCTATCATTGTACCCATCTTTCGAAAGGGCATACGTAGTGTATGTGACGGTTGTCGGGGTATTAGTCTGTTACCAGTAGGGTCGAAAATATTGGTTACTACCAAACTGGGGAGACGACAAGACGCGTGAGGAAATGATTCGCGAACAACAGGCCGGGTTTTGTTCAGGCTGTGAATGCATCGATCATCGGTTTGCCCTTCTCTAAATGCTTCAACATTGCCAGATGTATTACAGGCCAGCAATCATTGTGTTGGTTGACATTAGGGCTGCCTTTGACTTGTGGGACAGAGCTCTACTCTGGAACTGTCTATTGAAGAAAAGCGTGTCTGGGAAATTTCTTAACAACTTGGAAGCTCTATATATTAACACCTCAGGTAGAGTGAGGGCACACAACTACATCCCTATTATTTGGAACAACCAGTGGGGTTAAGCAGGGTTACTTGATCCCCCCATTCTCCTTTAACTTCATCATCGATGACATTCTCGATACAACTCTGAAGAAAGTGCATGATGATGATGTAGATCTACTACCTGGAGAACGGCTATTCGACTTTTAATGTGTAGACGACGTCGTCTTACTGTGCGATAACGCGTAGGGCACTCCAATCCGCATATCGAAAGCCTGTGTGGGATACGTCAATCTGGACCACCTTTGGCACTGTTAGTCTGCGACGTTAGTCAGAAAGTGAAAGGTTGGGTTTAGAAAGCTTTGGTGCGAGCAGCTCTACTCTATGCCTACGAAGTCTGGCGTCTCCGAGCTGAGAATGCGTAGGGAAACTACATGTTCGATCATCGTTGTCTGCGTAAGATTGCTCATATCCGGTAGGAACACCCTGTAAGTAATTATGAGGTACGACAGCGTGTGTTTGGGCATGATGAAGATCGTTACTGAATCAGTGAAGTCATGTGGAAGCACTGGGTTCAGTGGCTTGAACATGTGTTACACATGTCGTTCCAACATCTTCCACACCGTTCATTGTTTGTTAACCCTACAACTTGGTGGGAAAAGCAGAGGGGTGATGAGTGTATGACGTGACTCTGTGGAATGAAGGGTAGTTGTATCGGGTTAGCATGTATTGGTGCATCACGACTCTGTGAGTGAGGTTGGAGAGATGGTGCAACTGGATGTCTTGAGAGGCTATCTATCAGATATATCTGAGAATCGAAACAAGTTGCTGTCATACTGTAGCTTCCTTCTATCTTGTGGTGCTGTAAAGTAGTGAATGTTTTGTTTTGATTGTGTGTTGCTGAACTGGCCTTCTAATCATATTATTCTAATCGCATTTTTTTCTGTAGTATTAATCCACCTTCTATCGGTTTATGTCTTCACATTGTTGTATTACTATTTTGTGTGGTGCATTTCTTGATACCGTTGCTTAACCATGTTTGTGTACTAATGATCATCATCATAATAATAATGAATAGTAATAACAATACTAGGGTATGTTAAGACGACTGAATTTTCTTATCTTCACCTTGCACTTCACTTCTTTTTTTACTTGGTGTACTGATGTGAGCTGTGGCAACTCGGACCGTTACGCAGTAATGTCTGGTCCTATGTTGATGTTGATGATGTTAAGATTCCAAGTCTGTGAACTTTTGGCGAACAGTGCTTTCCAGGCATATGTATTCCTTAGGGTCTCAATGTAGTAAATGTGAACTTGGAGAACAGGTCATCATCATCATCAACATAAGACTAGGCATTACTGCGTAACAGTCCAACTTGCCACACTTCATATCAGTGCATCAAGTAGAAAGGCAGTGAATTAGAAGGTGAAGAAAGGAAAATTCAGTCAAAAGGAATATAAAGTACTCAAAGAGAGAAAAGATTGAGAAAATGGCGAGATTCGGTATAGTGTCGTTATATATATATATATATATATATATATATATATATATATATATATATATATATATATATATATATATATATATATATATATATACGCCATTGACTTCGGTTCCGAGCCACATCACCTAGAGTCAATCTCCAACCACTGGTTCCTCTTGTCCCGCCGACCCCAACCGGCTAGTCTGCGTTGCCCCACATAAATCAACAGTCACAGACTTCATGCATTGATGCCATGTAAGATTTCGCCATTGAATTTATAGTCTTAATTGATTCCCTTTTGCTCCCGTTGTATCTTTACAGTTTCTTAATTTCTAAAACTAGTTATTGAGAAGGTCCCTGTTATTTAGGTAATCACATTTGTTCGTTACAACTGTCAGAGATCCCTCATCAGGTTTGTTTATTATCAAATCATCTATTTTGAGCTTTTGGATACAGTGACAGCATAGTGAATTTGAAGTTGTTGGGCTTATGAAGTCTTCCATAAATTTTGGCGGTGAATTCTCTCCATGGCAAATATATGCTATCGAACTGAAGTCCGCTGAAGAATCACGGGCTTGTAACACTACCTGACTGCCCAAACCCGGAACGCGTGACTTTTCTCTTGGTAGCCGAAAACCTAAAATGATGTAGCTCAGCTTCCCGAATAAATGGATCAATCTTCGTATTATTGGCCAAACACATTTTTGTATGCTGTTATTAAACAGTGGCACACCTTTTGCATTCAGATGTAATTATGTGCTATTAAGAAAGGCTATTTTACGCCCATAACTAGGTAAAAGCTCCTAGCATCAAATACTCTCTTAGAATAAGCATTCGATGTCTTCACTAGTTAGTAAACTAACGTAGGTCATTGGTGCAGACACAGTTTCATTATTTGTATTATTTTTTCACTGCCTGTTAGAGATATATTTGTTGCCAACGTTAATCTAATTATCATTTGACTATCTGAGATAGCCGTAGTTGAAATTGTGAGATTTTCGTTGGAACTCCAGTTTTTCATTATTATTTGAAGTTTTAGTTGTCTATGTAGCGTCCTGAGAAATATTTGACTCGGGAAAAATGAGTACAAGTATAGAGATGAACGTCAAGAAGTATGATAGCATCACGTGAACTACCCAAAGCAAGTGGTACTACTTTAATGTATCGAGGTCATATTATGTCAAGCTAAAAAGTTATAGCAACACTAAGTATGATGCATTTTATTGATGACGATATCGTGTCGGGAAAAAGTTTCGACTTAACAGTATTGTGTTCAATAACCATTCGGAAATTCCGTTCGTTTCCCAACATTAATTTACCTACTTTACCAACCAAATTTCCATAAGAATCTTGAAAAAGTAACTCATTTTTAACTGTATTAGTATGTCTTCAGTTTTGACAAACTATACAATGACGTCGTTTATAAAATACTCGGACTAAAGCACCTTAGCAATGATGTTAGAATCCATGTATGCTTAGACCTCTTTTTGGTGTCCGCTTTGTAGCTTTCCTTGATGAAGATAAAGAGGTGTTTCAAAACTGGATTCTAAGTTGTCAAGTAAAGTTGAACGATGTAAGCATATATGTACACTACTAACAGCATCAAGTCGCCGATCGAAATGATATTCAGTTATACGGCAATCAACTTGATACATTGGACACAGAAATTCTATTTCTCCTAACACCGTACCTAACAACTGGATAACGAAACGCACTCAAACACCTTGTGCACATCTATCCAAGACTAATGATACTACCTGGCTGCCAAAGTCACAGTAGGTGGAGCAAGGCTCGAATCCATGACCCACTGATTGGTAGTCATCTTCGCAAACCACTAAGCCACAGCTCCACAGCTAGATAGCAGTGAATCATGAGCCGCAGATTATAAACAAAATTACAGATAAGAATATGATCGGGTTCAGAGTTTTTGAAGATACCACAGCTTATCGCTGATTTCCTACAATCGACTAACATCTGTCTCTATTATGAAGTTTCATACAATGGATGTAGTCCGTAGTAACATAGGTCGATTCAACGAAGAAACGTCTTCCTCTTTTTCTTATTACCCTCTGTACGAAAGCGCAGTTCTGTACTCTGATAGTTATTTTTGGTATGCAACTAAGCCCTATTCTATTCCCATGCTTATTACTGCTCAAATATATGCAAGCCGTTATAGATGTTGATATTTGCTTAGTTAAATAACTGAAGCTATCCATATAAATGTAAAGATTTTAATATGGTGTTCACCACGGACTGATATCATTTAGAGAAACATTGAAAACCTGAGAGCACTGGACAAGTTGTTCCGTCTTAGTATAGGACTGCTGAACAGTGCGTACCCATGACTCCTCTGGGATCGAACCCAAGACATTCAGGTTCCGTTAACACTCAGTCATTAGGTCGGAATCCAACGTTCCACATTTTTCTATTTCTGTCGATCCCATACTAGAATAAAACAGCTGTCTGGTACTCCCAGAGGCTTTTAGTGTTTCTCCAACTGATGTCAGTCCGTGATGAATACCAACTGTTTCAAGATGACTTAAAAGGTGCGTATGGCCTGATTTTGACTAGCTTTCGAAAACTGAAAAAACAAGAGTATGACTATAACATAGTTTCCGCTTTATTCAATAGTAGTTTTCTACTTATTTCATATAGTCACCATATATACAAATTGGCATATTTTTAACCCAATTTTTTACTGATAGGCTTATTTATCTTTGGTTTTCTTTGTTTCATTGCTTTTCAGGTTGTTTGTATTCTTGGTCAATTTTCGTGTTTGTATATCACTGCCTATTGACTGACCTCAGTCCAGTTATTTATTCCTGAATGTCATGAAAAGTGACCTCAGTGTCTTGTATACGGAAGCCGCTTATTTAGTCTGTCTTGTCAAAGGACGAGTTTGTCGACTGAAAACTGGTTTATACACGCACAAGTTCACATATGTAAGCCTACAAATAGTTAACAGTACTTATTATCATTATTATTATTATTATTATTATTATTATTATTATCATAATCATCATTATATACTTGTATCTTTCTTCTGATTTTAGTAAATCAGCATATTTCACTTTGAAGTGATAGTAGAAATGACTTCAAATTCTGGACGAGGATGATAATAAAACGTCCACGACAAAATATTGAAGCTAAGAGAAGATCAAACTATTATCATATTTCACTCTAACGAGAAACCGTGACCAGTGAGGTTAATCAGTCAAAAATGAAGCGGATACGAACTGGAGACCTTGGTGGATAATCACGCTATATATCGCCCCACCGGAAACTCTGACACAGTGGTTGGTTGGTTCACGCGTTCACCGTGAAACTTAAAGGCTTCGGGTTCAATCCCCGATGGGGTCGTTAATGCGTAGGATGGGACAGTTGTCTAGTGCCGCGAGGTTTTCAATATTTCTTCGACTGATGCCAGTCTGTGATGAATGCACTCTCAAAAATAAAATCCCCATAACCTTCAAACTATATTGTGTAATCTTTATGTTTCGGGTTTCAGATTTCAACACTATACAATAAGTGGATTATCCAACAACATACAATTACTTCTAATTTCTCTGCATTTGTTAGTCATTGATCTAAACACACTAAACTTTCAACCACTAAAACATGGGTTTGAACTCCGTTCTACCTGTCTGCCAAATAGTATCACCAAGCCTCCCATAATAAGTGTAGCTCATTACCTTGTGCATGGACAAGTACGTGGTTGCTGAGAGAATTTCGGTCCATTCATATTCTGATTTCTGTCACCTTCAATCTTCTACGATACGCACATCCAGGCAGTAGGCAGTCAGCCACGCCTATTGTGTGAGAAGGGCTAGTGATACTATTTGGCAGCCCAAATCACCTCGGTAGGTGGGGCGGGGCTCGAACCTATGGCCCAGTGGTTGATAGTCACCTATCTGAACCACTGAGCCACAGCTCCTAAAGCTGATCTAAGTGGAACCTGGCTCAGTTCAGTATTTCTTTAAATGTCACTAAGTTATCGGTTAGTGGGTCTGTGGCTTATTAACTTAAGGATTCAACTTTTGAACAGTCTCGGGTTCAAATCTCGCCTTCAGCTGATACCAACAAAATATGTATTTACTACCTCTCTAACTATCTAGTGTTTCACTCCGATTTTTGGCTGAGCTCCAAGCTCCAGACCGGTCTTAAAGTTTATAGACGTTCCAACACACCTGATGGGTCGATCTTCTTGATGAGCATGAAACATCCAAGTAACGTATCCACATGGAAAGGAACACTCCTTTCATACCATTCTGTCGACGCTCCCTCAAACTAATCAGTTATCCTAAAACCCTCTTAACTGTTAGTCTTATCCTGGGAATCTGTTTGTTGACCGTACTCACCTGCCTGTGGGCAGACTTGCTTGGGACTCATCTCAGTGGATTCTGCACAACCTTACAAACTTGATACATCTCTCTTCTGAAAAATATATTCATCCGGGAGGCCTGGACCATAAACCTATGATGTCGACAAATTCACAACAGTCGTTCCTTTCAAGATACTGAAATATAGACAAAGCTAGGGCTAACGACACCTGTATTTTAAACCGACTGTCACTCGCCTTCACAAGCTAATATACACGTCTATAATAGTTGCTTCCACAACAACGGCTATCGGAATTAAGAGGATGAAGTTTCGGTTAAACTAATCTCACCGCACTGAGTGGAATCCTGACGGCTAACAAAACTGTTCATACTTTGGAAACCTGCCCCAATGATCTTGCACACATAGATCTCAATTTTGAGGTTTATGGGGATTTATTTATTCATTTTAAGTCGGTATTCATCATGGGTTGACATCAGTTGGAGAACCATTGAAAACCTGGGAGCGTTGGTATGGGACCTCTCAGCAGTGCGCACCCATGAACTCGCCGGATATCGAACCCAGGGCCGTCTCGTACTACTCACTAGAGGTGAGACATCATTTAATTACGCAATACTGCTAGGATATGTCTAGATATATCTAGGACTTTGGACATAAGACGTGTTCTGGGACTGTAGCGAAGACGCCGTAATTCATTTACCATGATGTAAGAAAAACCAAACACTGACAGAAAGTCACTTCGTTTTTTGCAAGGCAACTAGTTCTATTGTATCGGATACTACATTGAATAACTTGGTCGAATGTAAGGGAAATAGTCTTCTTATTGTTATCCTTAGACTCCAGATAAGTAAGAAAAACAAAGCGACATATTTCAGAGGACCAAAAACAGTCGAAAATTCAACAAATCCTCACTTATTTCAAATAAATCGGGACATGATGTCGATATCAAAACTTCACTGCAATTAGTCAGTAGATTAGACTATCCAGATGTTTTTTTAGTTCATGAAGGTTTGAGTTATGATCCTTACATTAAGAAAAACGTCTGCTAGTTCACTTACTTCCGTAAAGCAAAGTACATTAACCGTAGTTAGAGATAACTGAAAACCATGTTCCAGCTATAGTTTTCTAAAGGTGAAAGGATTATTTAGTCGATTCCAACCATTTAACTTACATGAAAAAAGGTTTTAAGGTTATCTATTGAATTCGCTCAAACATTCATTCACGTTTTCTCTGTCTTCAATTGGCAAAAACACTAAAGGCTTTGACTATCCATGAACTGATGCCTAACCTTTGTATACAAAAGAAGTACATACAGTCTTTATCTCTACCTTGTCTTTAACTCAATTTTATCTTGGTTTATTTCGCTTCAAGTTTTTAACTTCTCTCTTTGTTAGATTAATCTTTGTACTCTCATTTCGTTACTATCCTACCTCCGACACCATAATGTAACGACTAGCTACTGATACGTTTTCATCTGACCTGTAGGTAGGTACGTTGTTGCAAGGGATGCGTAGAGCATTTCAAGCATAATGGTGACCATGAGAATCTGGAAGGGAAAAGAGGAACAGAAAAAGGTGAGCCGATGACTCAAGTATACACGATGTACTTACATTTAATTATAAAAGATAACTGACTAATGATGGGGCTTGACAACGAAGAAGTGAGGCAGTCTAGAAACCGAAACTGTAAGGTGAATGAGTAAAATTTCGAATGCGTTACACTACTCCCCCTAATTTTCCGATCATTTATTAACTCTACTGTGTTTTCACTCCTTTGTAACCTAAATATACCCGATGAACGATTTCAAAAGTTTTTCGTTATAATTCAACTTATACATCATCAACTAGAGACATTATTATAACTATAACGACAATTAACATTTATTCAATCTCCTATTATTTAGGTTTAATTTTCTTCATGGATTGCATTCTTTTTATTATTATCATTATTCATCTGTTGGGTTCTTGGTGGAACATAGGGCTCCAGTAGCACATCGGCATTTCGCTCTATTCTCTGCAATCTTTAAAACCTGGCTCCACGAATGCCCATAAGCTTTCATTTCTTCCTCACACTATCTCCCCCATGTCACTCTTGAACGCCCAGCTTGTCGTTTACCATTTGAATTCCACTCAAGGACCTAGCGCATGATGTCCCCAAACGGTCTTCTCAGTATACATCTAATCCAATCCATCACTTTCTTCTGCCTATTTGTTGGGTGATAGATTCTTAGTTGGTTCGTTACCAAAGTTCCTTGTTGCTTATTCTTGCTGACCATCCATCTGATCTTCAGTATCGAGTGAGTGTAGGCGGCAGATGTTGATATATATCTATAGTTTCTTTTTGGGAATGCTTTCCGTAACGCCCCAAGTCTGTGAACCATACAGAGAAGCACTGACTTACTTGACTGACTTAGTGTTGAAAATCCGGATGTTGTTCACGCTTTATGTTGACTGCAGTGATTAATGAAGGCCTATCTTGTTGTCCTTCTGATCCTGGCTTTGACATCATCATCTGTGCTGCCGCCTGTAGTCGAGACGATGCTGCCTAGGTGGTAGGTGAAAGATCACTTTTTAAGTTCCCATCAGTTTACCAAAAGGTACTCGCCTGCGAATCCCTCAGACTGCAGAAGCAGTAGCAATCAGGATTGAAAAGCCAGAATGATGCGTTCGAAAAAAAAACCAAGTGTTCCCGCTACAACTATTGTAGCCTGGTTCAGAAGACACATATTCATTCACATCCTATCCCAGGTAATCTAGATGCCCCTTCGTCTCAATAATCTGAAATATTTCTAGGAAGTTTTCTTAACTTATTCTGTCCTCCTTAACATGAGTAACATTCTGTCTAGCTATTATTCTTCAAATCATCTTTCTTGGTTTATTTCATCCAGTTGACATAAACACCTTCCTATTGTTTTATTAAACTACCACGTTATATAGCATTACCTATGTCGTATACTCATTGAGATCACCGATTATTTTCAATTGAATTCCAATTAAAATGGATTTAATCGTTGTGGTTAACTGAAGACTTTTCTGAATTGACTTTTTCAACAGTATGCTATTATTAATAACCTCATTGAACAGCAGCTATATGAAGACGCCACATGACAAGTAATTTACAATGGGAAGCTCAATGATGCCTTTGAAGTGAAGTGAAGACAGGAGTAAGACAACGTTGCTGCCTACTATCACCGATAATCTTCCTGATTGTGGTCGACTGGATCATGCAACAAACACTGAGGAGCTGTGACAAGAGGGGGATACGCTGGTTGGACCGGGGAAAACATCCTAGAAGATTTGGATTTGATGACTTGTGTCTAATTTCACACAAACTCGAAAATCTACAGGCGAAAACTAACAAGTTGATAGAAAAGACAGGGCAGCGAAGACGGGACTTCAAGTGAACGTAGAGAAGACAGAGGTTATGATGACACCCAACCAACGCCACCACCACCACCACCACCAACAACAACAAGCTCCAATCACCATCAACGGGAGAAACCTAAAGGAAGTAGCCTCCTTCACCTATCTAGGCAGCACTGTTTCAACTACAGACAGCATGGACGAGGATATCAAAGCCAGCCAGGATCGGAAAAGCAAGACAGGCGTTCATTATTAACCTGAAACCAGTGTGGATATCTGCACTCAGCACTCAATGAAGTCAATGCTTCTATGTGATGGTTAATAGACTCAGTGCGTTACGAACGGCATTTCCAACAAACTAGAGACGTTCATCAACAACTGCCTACACTGGCTCGTTACTGAAGATGAGATGAGAAGACGAGAAAGAATAAGCAACAAGGAACTCTGGCTGCCTGTCAACGAACTAACGAATCAAGAACTTATCGCTCAACAAATATGCATTGGAATGAAGTGGAGATGGATTGTGCACTCAGTGAGAAGACCATTCGGGGACATGATGCACCAGACCAGGCACTTGAGTGGGACCCAGATGAGCAACAGCGAGTTGGGCGTCTGAGGTGAGGGTGACGGTGATGGTGTGAGGAATAAATGAGAGTTTGTGGTGAGTTGTGGAGCCATGTTGAAAAGACTGGAGAGAAGAGAGTGGAATTGAGACGTGCTATTGAAGCCCTATGTTCCACTAGGAACCCAAGGGACAAATAATAAATAATAACACTATTATTAATAAACTGATAAGGGGAATCTGTATATTGCTAACGTGTAATCCCTCAATATGTATATGTAATCATAAAACGTGAAGGAGTTATCGAAAAGAATATTAATTGTTTACTCAAATACCTTTTAAATGATAATGAGGATCTTTCATAATTTATAAACTTTTGAGTAATACAATTCCCTTCTCTTTTTGTTTTATTCATTTTATGATTATTTTAGACATATCACCCTAAACTATGTATATTATCTGTTAAGTTATAGATCGATTGTGTACTGTATTTCAATTAATTTCCCTTTTCTAACATTGTCTGTACATACTGTAATGATCTGTAAATTTCTTCTGATATTGGCTATAACTTTTATTGTGTTGGTTTTATGACAGTTATAGAAAATGTCATTCATTGATGTAGCCGCCACTCAACTTTCAACCAAATTGATCATCGACCTAAAACTTTACTCTGCATCAAATTTTACGCCATCAGGTGTAGTATCTCATCAGGCATAAAAGGGTGTGACTTATTACCTCTTGTATCGACCTGTTTATACTTTCTAAGAATGGATTTCAATTCGATTTCGATTAACCCAAGCAGTTTAACTTCTAACGAGATGAGTCATAAGTTCTTAACCTGTTCTATCTATCAGAGTGTGGCGTAGCTAGACAGTATCATCAATCGTTGTACCATAGATATGGCATATTTTGAGATGAATATCATTACTTTTTTTCCCCTTAGGTTCCTAGTGGAACATAGGGCTTCAGTAGGACGCCTCCATTCCACTCTATTCCCTGCAGTCTTTTTAACCTCGCTCCACGACTGCCCATAATCTTCCATTTCTTCTTCATATGATCTCCTCCATGTCACCCTCACCTTGGAGGCCCAACTCACCGTTGCCCATCTGGGTTCCACTCGAGTGCCTGGTTTGGCGTGTGATGTCTCCGAATAGTTATCTCAGTGTATGCCCAATCCAATTCATCTCCACTTCCTTCCAACGCATATTTGTTGGGTGATAAGTTCTTGCTTCGTTGGTTGGTTCGTAGCTGGACCAGAGTTCCTCCTTGCCTATTCTTTCTGGCCATCTGATCTGATCTTCAGTATCGAGTGAGCGTAGGTGGCAGCTGTTGATGACGTATGTCTGTAGTTAGTTGGAAATGCTTTTCGTAACACGTCAAGTTTCTGAGCCATCATACAGAAGCACTGACTTGACATTGGTGTTGAAAATCCAGAGATTATTTGTAGCTTAATTCATTTACATTCATATGGTTGATAAAATACTTTAAATGAGTCACTCTATCGTTAACTTTCAACTCAAGTTCTTCGATTAATAAAGCAAGCGAGTATCATGTTTCTCTTTCTTTCTCCCTTTTTTTTTTCTCATGCATAACTTTAGGATCTGCGTAAGATTTATGCATTAGCTTCAAAAACTCTGAATTCCTATGGTAATCTACTCGAAACTTTAAAACGAGCTGGTTTGCAATCAAAAGAAAAAATTACACACTTATCTTCTACTATTAGTAATAATGCTGATGATTTTCATTCATGTCGTCAATGTCATCTACTCGTTTTAATACATGATGTACTCAAAGGACTAAAACATCCACATCATTACTTACTTACTCAATTATATGAATCTACTGAAGATGTTTTAGCTGTGAAAAAACTTCGTCATGCTCATAAATTAACTGAAAAGTGTTCAAAGTTGAAGAATGAAAAGAATAATGTTAAAAGTTTGTTATTTTTTCCAAATTAGTATTGTTATTCAGCGAAGAAAATTTTCTTTTTTCAACGATATCCTTCTTCTAAAACTGTACAATCGTATATATATATATATATATATATATATATATATATATATATATATATATATATATATATATATAAAACACATCTGGCACAAAACGCCTTGGTGTCATGTAGCTCAACTAGTTCAGTGATCCAACAGACTTCTATCACCTCCATCAGTTAGCATCAACTTGTCAATGGCTGCATTTAATTCTGTTCAAAAGAGCAAAATTTGTCGTAGTGAAGTTCCTAATTTCATTGCTGATTAACCCTTGTTCCTGTTTGTCAAGACTTCAGATAAATCCTTCTAACCAATGACAAAAAGCAAGATAGTTAGTTCCACAGTTTCCTGATTTCTGACTTGTAATATTTAAATGTAACCACGGAGATCTTGTCAGTTAGTTGACCGATCAGGGTGCAAATTCGACTGCATGGTGCTGATTAACACTTAAAATCTGACTACTATTCTCATTATACTACGAAACATGCCCATTGAGTCATACAGAAGAGATAATTCACCGAAGAAATATTCTCTCTTTTCTACGATATCCTTCTTCTAAAACTGTACAGTTGTATTTATATATCAATACATCATAAACATATAAGAGTCTTTTATAAAACAATGGGGTATAATTGAATCACTAAGCCACCTAGTGCTAAAACAAACTGGAATCAATAATGCAAAGTAGTTGCGTGATAATCTATTAGACAGTAGAAGTAACGAGGAAGGCAAGGAGTTTGACAAGATGAAAATTGTTGGTAGATAAGAAACGCAAATATTGTGTGTTCACTTGATAGATAGGTAGATGTAAGGAGGGTGAAGGATAAGACCGCACAAAGTGCACACTTTCCAAACGTATCTTTGAGCACTACTATCCTGCATGGTTGTCGAAGGGGAGAATGTAAACCAATTAACAGTTTAATTCTTAAACATTTCGTCAACTATGGACATAAAGCTCGATCAGTGTCATTTATCGTGTCATATGGAATAGTTCAAAAGGAGTAGACCTTTCACAGTTGTGCATAATGGAGGCATTGGCAATTCATCATTTCAAGCCTGATCTCTTTGTGCAAAAGAAGTATGTTCAATCTGTCATCTTACTATGGTCTTAACACTTTCACAATTTATTTTCGATTTCATTATGGTTAGTTAGTTTATTATTATCATCTTCATTATGACCCTTGTCTCATTCTTCACCTTCTTTACATCCATCTACCTATCTATCAAGTGGACACTCAATATTTGCGTTTCTTATCTACTGACAATTTTCACCTTATCAAACTCCTTGCCTTCCTCGATATTTCTACTGTCTAATAGATTATCACACAACTACTTTACATTCTTGATTCCAGTTTGTTTTAGTACTAGGTGGCTTAGTGATGTAATTATACCCTATTGTTTTTTATAGACTGTTATATGCTTATGATGTATTGATATATAAATACAATTGTACAGTTTTAGAAGAAGTATATCGTTGAAAAAGAAAATTTTCTTCGCTGCATTATCTCTTCTCCATAATATTGTTGTATTATGTAACGTAACTATTTCACTATTTTTTTTCTCCAATGGCTTGGCAATTCATAGGTATTCTTTCACATTAATCGAGGAATGAATGCGTTGTTGCTTACTGACTGAGAAAATCTACGTAGAACCTCTCAGATAACAGATGTTTCGGCTCGTATTTCACAGTAGCAGAAAAAGAATAGATGGATAAAAACGGAGTAATATCAGAGTAGATATAGAGTAGTGCAAGAGGATAAATAATTTGAAGGTAACAGTTTGTGTGAATATTCAAGCCTTAAAAGATGATAAGGAGTGAATATATCTGTGCTACTGTAACCGATTGTCAACCATTTCACGAAGAGTTCTCAACCACTGATTCCTATCGATTCCACGACACCAGTAAGGCAGCTTACATCTTAAACACATCTCAGACTAACAGTCAAGTATCTCGTGGATTAGTACCACGTTTTTGTTTGGTCACCTTTAACTGCCTTTCAACCTAACTCAACTTCGTGTAGTAATGCAAGTCGAGGTAGACGGTGACTTGGCTAGGTGTGCGCCAGTACATGTTCAAGTCATCTCAGGTAATGAAGGTTCACAGTCTCATTAATCGACTTACCTGTCTTGTCTAGTACTCTTCGTTTGACTGACCTCAATCACTTCATGTCTTCTGCTTCCAACAGCTGTGTCTCATAGTGGTATAGGAGGACAGAACGGAATGCAATACAGTATACTCGTCTTTTGATAGGTAGTCAGATGTGAGCGTTTTAAGGAATTGTAAAATGACAATCAATAATCTCTTGTGTGTCTAATTCAGTCCTAAAAAAGAGATCGGTTACATCTCAAATAGTTTAATGTTGTGAAGTATCTTACTACATTTCGTGCAGTGACATGTGTTTGACTGTCTGATAGGCAGGCATCAGTACCTTCGAAGTTACAGTTATGCCTTGTGGGTGTATACCAACAAGCATGAAATCTAGGTTGAATACGGATTCCTGCCGTTTGATTCCGATTGCCATTCATTGATGAAAGTGTACGGCGATGATGAGTCTCCTAATGCAGTGACTACGTATACTCAATCTTTAGGGTCTAACGATTGAAACACCTCAGTTTCTTGGTAAGTTTTAGGTGAGTTCCGAATCTGACTATTGGAATGTGTGTTTCACTTGTTTTGACATCTACCTACACGCGTATGTTTGCTTTCGACTGTGGTAATAGTAATGCAGAAGAATGGGTTATTAAAAATCTGCAGACGTAGAGGTATCAGGCGGCACAAAACGCATTAGTTATGTATCCGGTATATTGGTTGGCGTCTGTTCATTCCTATACGATTTATCTATTTAATTTGAATCGTTTTATTACTGGCTTTTTCATGATGCTATTGAAACTGGTGGATCCACTGTTGTAACCTTTTCTGAGTTATTCCACTTAAACGGGCAGAGTCATTTGAGACTGCATGGTATATTGAAATGAGTGGATGAAAATCACTAACTTTTAGTAAGGAGTGATGCCTACTAAACGCAAGATATTTTGTTTGTTTTTATTTATTTATTCAAAACAAACTTCGTAAAACACTGACACCAAGGGATGCACTATAGAAAATCATATAACAACAATAAAAAGAGAAAAATCTGGTATAATAAGAGGAAAATAAGAAATTACCAAGCTAACGAGTTCTTGTGATCTCTCGAACCCTATCTGAGGAGTTGTAGGATATCAGCAGATGTTAACCAAAAACGACTATCCCTCATCCCATGACGCCACGTCTTACACCGACCACCTCTTCGCTTCTTCCAATCAGTTCTGGGACTAAGCAACAGTAGACGGTGTAGGAGCTATTAGGACAACATGTTCACTGAAGCGGGTGTTCTATGACGGATTACATCCAATGAGTGATAATCTCCACTCCATCAAAGTTACTTATATAGTGTGTTTCAGTCATATGCTAATAATCCTTCGGAAAAACCGGTGATCCAACACATGTCGGAAATTCTCAGCTCAGCAAGGCCATGTTTCACAGGTGATGGTAAAGCAAAACTGTTCGCACTGATGAATTGTATACACGACGTCATGATGGCACTAAACTGACCCAGATTGGTTTGTGCCTCTCTGAATTTCGACATACTTTTGAAAACCTTATCAGGCACACTTCCACCAGCACTTACGACTTCCAATGGTTCACCACCTGGAACAAAATGAAGTTGACAACTGTGTCTTTTTTTAATACTTAGGTTTGGTTTATGTGTTGATGACAATTGCTTCTGTAAAACGTAAAAGATTTGAGGCTATCTACGCTGTGTTCGTAAGTATGGTATGTGGTTTGCACTACTGAAATGCAAAGTACTGTCGCAAGATTGGCAGGAGTCTGTGCCTCCGCTCACCCTTGCAGGTGAGCTGTTAAAAGTAGTTAAAAAGTTGTTCGTGTATCTGGGTGGTTGAATGAATGCTGGTGGAGGTGTGAATGATGAAATTTCCAACTGCATATCAAAAGCCAGAGTGGAATACGTCATTCTGCACCACCTTTGGCACTGTTAGTCTGCAACGTTAGTCTAGCTTCAGTGGCTTGGACATGTGTTACACATGTCGTTCCAACGTCTTCCACACCGTTCATTGTTTGTTAACCCTACGACTTGGTGGGAAAAGCAGAGGGGTGATGAGTGTATGACGTGGCTCTGTGGAATGAAGGGTAGTTGTATCGGGTTAGCATGTATTGGTGCGTCACTACTCTGTGAGTGAGGTTGGAGAGATGGTGCAACTGGATGTCTTGAGAGGCTATCTATCAGATATATCTGAGAATCGAAACAAGTTGCTGTCATACTGTAGCTTCCTTCTATCTTGTGGTGCTGTAAAGTAATGAATGTTTTGTTTTGATTGTGTGTTGCTGAACTGGCCTTCTAATCATATTATTCTGATCGCATTTTTCTCTAGTATTAATCCACCCTCTATCGGTTTGTGTCTTCACATTGTTGTATTACTATTTTGTGTGGTGCATTTCTCTATGCCGTTGCTATACCACATTTGTGTTCTAACAAATAAATAAAATTAATGCTGTATCCAGCATCAATCGGAGGAAGAATATTAGCTCTATGAACCCTTCAATCATAAATAATTGGGAATGGGCTCAGAAATGCAAATACAATTTTCCCCTTCTGTTTTTCTGGTGGATGTACTTTGTTATGTACATATAGTTTGATAGATACTAGTTGACGATGGTGTTCAGGCATTCAACGGGAGAAGCATGGACACATAATGCACACATAACTTAAGGAAAACCCAACCTATTCCTCAGCAATTTCTTTTTGCCCGCGTTTTTTCACGGCCTTGAATCTAGCTTGATTTGATATTTAGTTGAAAAATTGAAAGTAATCAATTGGGCTTATGTGGACTCATTCAGGATGACTATTCTGATAACCACTTAAGTGTAACCACAGTTCAAATAGGGGCTTCAGAGGAAGCGGAAGTCCCGAGTACGCACACACCAGTGGTAGCTAACTGCTGTGACCAGGTGAAGGGTAGTAGTCAGCACAACAGCAATGACTATTCGAGAAGTTAGTATTAGTTAGGAACAGGTTATCTATCACTCCTTATTATCAAACTTACAGTCATCTTATCCGCATTAACCACTTAAACGACCCCTTCTCTGAGCCTGGATACCCGACCTGTGCATTTAAATCCTCAGGTACCACTATGACATATGTTAAGAACACTTCATACAGAAATTCATTCAATCGGTGGTAGAATTCATCTTTAACTGCATCCGGATAATCAGTCAGTCAAGCACAGACAGAGGATACGGAGAGACATGGTTTCTCACCCTAGTTACTTCCCGCTCTAATAGAATCTTCCACCCTAACAGCACTCAGATGGCTCTTGATGAGAGTTCAGTCGGCTAGTATCTCTTGTGCTACGGTACTTATTAAAACACAAATACCAGTGAGGATAAATGGTGATGCAACAGGGTCTCTGGATTGAATCTCAGTAGTATCTTGTTTAAGGATCGCCGAAATACAACACCAAGAGGAAGGTCTTCCAGAATCTTATCTAAGTCTGTTTATTTTTCGTTCTACACCGAAATTTGAACATTGAAGGTGGCCAAGATAAACAGTATATGGCCTTCGGAATAGTTATGTCGGATACTGCATTGAAGAAGACCTTGGAGACAACTGTTTATCGACTCAAAACGGTTCGGATAGATCCGAATTTTAGTCAGTGGGTGACCAACTGACTTATCATAATGATGAAATAATGAAATCTTTTGGACCTGGCTCCACGACAGCCCAGTAGCTCTCATTTCTTCCTAACACGACCTCCTCCATGTCACCCTCACCTCGGAAGCCCAACTCGTCGTTTCCCTTCGGGGTTCCACTCGAGTGCCTGGCCTGATGCGTGATGTCCCCAGTCAGCCTTCTCAGTGTATGCCCAATCCAATCCAATCCATCTCCACTTGCTTCCGATGCATATTTGTTGAGTGATAGGTTGTTGGTTGGTTGGTTCGTTGCCAGGCCGCCAGAGTTCATTGTTGTTTATTCTTATTATTCTGGCCATCTGAGCTTCAGTAAGGAGCCAGTGTCTGTAGTTGTTGATGAATGTCTGTAGATTGCTGGAAATGCTTTTGGTGACGCGCCAAGTTTCTGAACCATACAGAAGCAGCTGGTGATATCTATAGTTAATACTTCTAATAGCTCATGAGAAGTATACGTTGGAACTCTGTCTTTGTTATGGATATTCTTATATATATATATATATATATATATATATATATATATATATATATATATATATATATATATATATATATATATATATATATATATATATATATATATTGTATGAGGGCCGAATCATCGTTGTCCGTGAGGCGATGTTCAAACTCGTGACCAATTGATTGTAAAGTCATCTTCGTAAACCAATGAACCTGAACTTCACATTACTATTACTAGGTATTAGCAATCGAATGTTAGGATCACACATATTTATTTCCAGATTTATAATGTCACCGTAAATATTATAGGTGACTGAAGTCTTGACATAATATCATCAATTTATTGGCAGTATTTTCATCAGAAGTGTATCCAGCTTTTTCAGGGTTTATTTTCACTCTAAAAGTGTAGTAAAATCACATCATGTTACTCATGTTGTTTATTCCTAATTGCTGATCGAAGTTCATAGAGAATTTCTCATTGCCGAATTTAAGCTAGAAAACTTATCATTATGGTATACTTTGAAAGATGTTAGTTGGCTGTAGGCAACTGATAGGAAAGCTTTCTTCATCTAGGTTTCGTGCTTGTTGTTAGTACTCATCAACTGGGTGATTATACAACAGGGAATTAGTTACTTCTCAATGAACAATTAATGTATCCAATTCAGTCCCATAGGAGATCAGTCATCACGACTAGAATAGCTTACTGGGAAGCTCTTTTATTATTCGAATCCCCTTGAGGTTACAGACACACTATATTGATGAGTGGCAACAACCTCAAAACCTTAGGTCTTGATCGTTTCCTGCCTATTATTTCCAACTAGCTAACTTATTAAGTCATGTGTATATATCTATAAAGGTAAAAAAAAAGAAAACATTTTTCTTTCTTCAAATTTTTTCCGTACAGAATTACTTCCTTGTTATGCACGTGTTAATCGTTTAAAGACTACCTTATCCAAAGTTGTTGGTGAACTTGAGAAATGTGGCTTTGAACACATAATATATAGTCGATCAGAGACTTCATACAGAAAGTAAGCGACAATATTATTTGATAAAAAAAAGAGTGATTAATTCATTTTATTTTATTATTTCAAATGGGCAGTATTCCAAAAAATCAGCGTTTTAAACATTATCAAGTTACCTGATTTATGGAACAGGCTGACTTCAGAAAGTACAAATCATGTGCGGATCATCATCATAGAGCAGAGCATAGAATGGCAGTCAACTCAACTCTTTACCTAAACTTCATCGATTTTGAAAAGGCCTTCGACAGCGTCGACCGAGAAGCAATTTGGCAGCCAGCTGCTTCAACACTACGGAATACTACAAACCTTTATCAACCTCATTCAACAACTAGCTATATGAATACGCCACATTACAAGTAATTCACAATGGGAAGCTCAATGATGCTTTTGAAGTGAAGTGAAGACAGGAGTAAGACAAGGTTGCTGCCTACTATCACCCATGATATTCCTGACTGTGGTCGACTGGATCATGCAACAAACACTGAGGAGCTGTGAGAAGAGAGGGATGCGCTGGTTGGACCGGGGAAAACATCCTAGAAGATTTGGATTTGATGACTTGTGTCTAATATCACACAAACTTGAAGATCTGCAGGCGAAAAATTAACAAGTTGCCAGAAGAGGCAGGCCAGCGAAGACGGGACTTCAAGTGAATATAGAGAAGACAGAGGTGATGAAGATATCCTACCAACGCCACTAACAACAACAACAAGCTTAAATCACCATCAGCGGGAGAAACCTAGGCAGTGTCGTTTCAACTACGGGCGGCACAGACACAGACGAGGACGTCAAAGCAGCCAGGATCGGAACAGCAAGCAAGGCAGGTATTCATTAGCCTGAAACCAGTGTGGAGATCTTCTGCACTCAACTCAGCATAAAGCGTGAACAAGATCCGGATTTTCAGCACTAATTCAGCCAAGTGAGTTAGTGCTTCTATGTGATGGTTGAGAGACTTGGCGCATTAGGAAAAGCATTTCGAACAAACTACAGACATTCACCAACAACTGCCTACGCTGGCTCGTTACTGAAGATGCGATGAGAAGACGAGAAAGAATAAGCAACAAGGAACTCTGGCTGCCTGTCAACGAACTAACGAAGCAAGAACTTATCTATCGCTCAACAAATATGCATTGGAAGGAAGTGGAGATGGATTGTGCACTCAGTGAGAAGACTATTTGGGGACATGATGCACCAGACCAGGCACTTGAGTGGGACCCAGATGGGCAACGGCGAGTTGGGCGTCTGAGGTGAGGGTGAGGATGAGGGTGGAGGAGATGGTGTGAGGAATAAATGAGAGTTTGTGGTGAGTTGTGGAGCCATGTTGAAAAGACTGGAGAGAAGAGAGTGGAATTGAGACGTGCTACTGAAGCCCTATGTTCCTCTAGGAACCCAAGGGACAAATAATAATAACAACTGACTTAGTCGTTGTTACTATACAGTGAATCGGTATTATTTACTGGATTACATTTCGGATACTATGTATAAATAAGATAGATAGATAGACAGAGACACACACACACAAACAAAATCAGCGCTGAATATCGAACGCAAATGGATCGGTTCAAGTTGCCACGCTTCACAGTAGAACACAAAGAATAAGTCCATCCATCCATACAAGTCAACATAGAACCAGGTATTACTGTGTAACGGTCCGAGTTGCCACACCTCATATCACTACATCAAGTAAAAAGGTAGTGAGGTGAAAAATTAAGTAAAGAAAAGAGTAGGTGGATAGAGAAAGACTGAATTCAAAGTAGACAAAGGTGTATAAGGGGAGTGGTGAATAGGAAGTTTAAAAATTAACATTACTCAAATCATCCATGCTTTAGAACACGTCGAGGTGTGAATACATTTGTTTGATTGTCACCGATTTTCAATAATTTCACCAAGAGTCCTCAACCACTTATTCTTATGGTTTCGGGAACCCCTACCAAACAGTCTACACCAAACTCATGGCACTGGCCAACAGTCAGGGACTTCATGAACTGTTACCATGTATTTATTTGGCTACCTTGAACCCTCTTCTAACTTAATCCGGCTTTGTGTAGCATGGTACTTAGAGGTAGGTGGCGGATCGGCATGTGGAACATGTGTGAAAGCCACCTTAGTCGCTGAGAATTCACAACCTCATCGACTGATATACCTTTGTTGCTTAGTACTTTTCGCCTGACCTCTCACATACTAATTCGACCATACATGAGCAATACCGCGAAGACATCTTTGGTCAAAAAATTGTAACCGCTTCATATCAAGATAACTTCATAACTTTGAGATTTGGTTTGTATAGCTTTAATTCTTTTTCACTGAAATGTAATCGAATGTATGATCCATCCATTAAGTGGAATTACATTCTACCCATCACTTTGCTTAAGTTTTACTCTTATTTCAATGTTCAATAAATTACTTAATGAGATTGACTACATAATCTACTGCTTATAAGAGATATAATCTTAAGTTGTTAGTCACTAAATATTTGATGAACCCAGTTTGAAATCTAAAATGATGATTGCCAGCGAATGTGGTGCACGAAGCTCTAAAAAATCTAGAAAAAAGCTATTGAGGCGTCTTGTTTGAATGGTATTGTAACATTCAGCTAATTAATTTACGAATAATTTACATTGACTTTAGGTGATGATTGACAGTGAATTGAAAACCTTAGTCGCGACATGATTTAACCAACTAGAGCCCACCACTGGCTTATGCCACCTATGGCGCCGGCGTGATATCCAATTGTCTATTAAGGGTCGCGTGTACTGCACAGCAGTTCTACTGTATGGCTGTGAAACATGGCCATTGAAGGTGGAAGACGTGAGAAGGCTGGTTTATGGTGTTTGACCACGGTTGCCTTGGTGGTGTAGGCCGTATTCAGTGGTGTCACCATGTGAGTAACGCAGAGGTGAGGTATAGAGTTTTAAGGAGGGCGAAGAAGTAAGTTTGTTGACGAGGTTGTGAAGGTTGATGGAGTGAGATGGCTGGTTGGGACACGTGTTGGGTATGCCTGGTCACCGATTGCCTCGTCACACAATGTTGGCTGAAGTGATGTATGTCGAGGATGGGAAAAGGCGTGAGGTGTCCAGACTAAAACATGGTATGAATGTCTGCAGTGTTTGACTGTTGGTTTTAGCTATGTGAGGCGATGCAGACTAGTTGGTTGAGGTTGGTGGGACATGAGAAACGAGTGGTTGGAAACTGACTGTAGGTGATATGGGTGAGAATGGATGTCAGTGGGGCAGATGTATCCCCTCACACGTTATCCTCATCTTAAGGACGCTATACCTAATCTCGCTATTTTTTCATTCTTCCTTTCTCTCTGTCTCTCTTTGAGTACTTTATATTTCTTTTGACTGAGTTTCCTTTTCTTCATCTTCCACTTCACTGCTTTGTTGCTGATATAAGGTGTGGCAAGTTGTGAACCGTTACACAGTAATGTCTGGTCCTTTGTTGACATCGATGATAATGATGAACTAAAGCCCGGTAATTATTAGGAACTGAGCTACTGACTAGTAAAACTGGCCAGCGAGAAAAAATCTCATTAATTTGAGTAAAGAACTAGTCAGTAGTTGAATCTCATAACTCTGATGGCCACTTGGCTAGAGTCCTTATGTTGCCCAGTTTTCTGCTTCATCCTCAGTCGTCATTTAGTATCGATAACTCTATGAGGATTTTGAATAGCCTAATCAAATAATGTGCAAAGAGGAGTGAATGGGTGGGTAATAGGATTGCATTACGAGTACTACTTGTTGAGGCGTTAACATTGGCACAAAGAATGGGATAGTTATAACAATTGAACCCTCAACCTGTTACCTACGTTGACCTAGGCCATCGGGTAGTGTCGGGTGCTCTCTCTGTCTCTCTCTAGTACACATAATTATATACTGAGTTTCCGATAAGGATACCAGATATATTAGCAAATAGACATCATTATTGATTTCATTGTAGAAAGCATAAGTTATTCTGGTGTTAAGGTTTCTTACAATTAGTTTATAAATGTATGAACCCATCTTTCCTGGCTTGTAATCCTCATCTCAGATACAGAAGAGACTGGTTTGACATTTAACAACTCGTATCATCTTTTGCGCCGACTGGCGAGTTTTCAGTGTTAAAGTCTGTTCTGTTCTGTTATTCGGCTGTGAGACATGGTCGCTAAAAGTAGAAGATATGAAATGCTTGGAGTTTTTTGACCATAAATTTTTTCGTTGTACCCCTTACGTTTGTTTGTATCACCTAGTCAGCATTCTTAAGGTCAGGAGAAAAATACTAGGAGAGGATGATAAATTAGTCGATGAGGTTGTGAGGTTGTGCGTGTTTAGTCACCACCTACCTCAACATACAATACTGGGGGAAGTTAGATTAAGTTAGGAAATGGCTCAGGGTAGCCAGACCAAAACGTTGCATCAGTCGATGAAGTCTCCAACTGCTGGTTTAAGCCACATAAAGGGATGTAGACTTCCAGATTGGGTCCTCAAGACGATGCGAATCAGTGATTGAGGATTCTTAGTGAATTGACTGGAAATCAGTTACAGTGGGGTAAATGTATTCACTCTTTGGTGTCTTCTAAATTCTCTCTCCTCCTATACACCTTTGTTGACTTTGATACTAGTCTTTTTCTATCCACTTGTTTTTTGTATGCTGCTGTGAAGTGTATCAACTTGAACCGATTCACTTGTGTTCGAGGTTCTATATCGATTTTATCTGTCTGCGAAGCTATAACTCATTGGTCTATGCACTTGACTGGTAAACCGTTTGGGTCAAAGGTTCGAATCCTACTGCACCTGCTGGGTTTTTACACACTCAAGTAGTTTCATTAGCTCTCACGCAATAGATTCGCCTGATTGCCTACTGCACAAACATGCACATGGTTGCTAAGTGGAACACAACTTTTGTCAGAGATGATGTTGATAAGTGATATAAGGGTGGATGCCAGCATGTATTATTGTTCATTTGCCTTGTAGTTGTGGAGAGGGATTCTTCTATATGGTTTGCGTTTCTTACATTCATGATTCGTGAAATAATCTGATGAATTCCTTCACCATCATATTCTGAATTTCATTTATAACCCCATAAAAATTCTAACACATTCTTGTTGTAGTCTAAATAGCCTCATCATTAATATCTAAGCTGAAAATTCCGTCAATTTCAAGGCATCATCTGCATAAAAAAGTCCATATGCTAATAATAGCTGGTCACTTTAGTCGAATCATCTACGGAAACTTACAATATGTAACATGAAAAGTCTACTCTACCCCTGGCACAAGCAATGGCTTAATGGATAGCCCTCTGATGTTTTAAGCGATAAGTCCTGGGTCTGAGTCTCTATGAGAACAACATTACTCACTGAGGGGTGAGTGGGTGGCAGGTACATCCAGCTGATGACAAAATCCTAAATGGGACGAAACGTGCACCAAGCTGGATTCCACTTCAAGTCACTATCGACCGATAATGTCTAAACCTCACGTTTTAACTTAAATCTTTACATAGCTTGTCCCCCGAAATGTAATTCAACGATATGGAATCAGGAGTAGAAAAACAAAATATATAGTGAGATATCGAGTGAGTTGTGGGCTTTAAATGGTGGTAGTGGCGCATAACCTTGCTTGGGATTGAAAGGGAATAAAAATTGGGTCAGCATTTGATTCTCGTAGCTCAGTTGACAGAGCAGTGAACCGGTAACCCGAAGGTCGCTGGCTGAAATCCTACCTCGCGCCAAATCTTCACTCCCAATCATCACCCGGTATCAGTTTACATATTATTATTATTATTACTATTATTATTATTATGCATTACAGATTTCGCAAGAAAGTTCGCCGCCTTAAATGTAGTCAATTTATGCTGGATTACCATTTGCCGCATATACTTTTGGTTTTTCCATCCGGTACTGCTTTGCATCAACTGGACCTATACAGATCTCACTGCATTGTTATTCAAGATAAGGTGAGTTTTGAATAGTTATTATAATTACTATTGATTGATATACTTGTAATTCCCCGTCGTTTTATTGGATCGAATTATTCGGCGTCTATTGGCATACGGGCTCCTATGAGGATGCTTTGATATTGCCTGGATGTTGATTATGGTGATTTGGTTGATAGTGACTATCAGAGGAATCCAAGACGCGCGTTTCGTCCTATTTGGGACTCATCAGTTGGATGTACCTGCACCTCACGGAGTCATGTTCCCATTGGTACTCGAACCTCGTACCCGTCTCTTCAAACACCAAGGCGTTATCTGTTATGCCATGGAGGGACGATAATCACTTGTACAACTGGTAGATGTCAAGAAGTGAATACATCTGCGTCATTGTGACCGACTATCAACCACATCACCAAGAATCCTTAAACACTGTTTTCTTTCGTCTTGGGTACCCTAACCAGAGACTTCATCGACTTGTCCCACGTCTTAGTCTAGTCACCCTGAACCTTCTTCCAACCTAATCGAACTCCCTCTAGCATGGCACGTCGAGGCAGGTGATGGATTGGCTAGGCATGCACGATACATGTTCAAGCCATCTCAACTGATGAAGGTTCACGACCTCCTCAGTCGACTTGCCTTTCTTGCCTAGTAACCTTCTGACTAATCTCAACATTGTTCACACGGTGATTCCACGGAACGCGAACAGGGCTACAAAGACACCTATGATCAAAGACTTTCAATAGCCATGCCTCACAGCTGTATAACACGACGAAATAAACTGCAGCGTTCTATAACTCGTCCTCTGATAGCCAGATATCTCACCTACTCCACAAGAGATGTAAGCTGCTTTCCAACACTTGTCAGCAGTGCATTGACTAATCGATTTCATGTTTAAGTGAATGAATACTTAGGGAAAGGAATAGGAAAACCTATTAACATTGCAGTTGTTTTGTATATATCAGGTCAACTTAGATGAAGTCTTTAATGTCATATAACGTGTTCTTTGCAATCTGTCAAAAGAGGGACCACTACGTCTCCTATCTTTGGCATAAGCTGTAGGAATCCACATGAGAAATAGTAATTAGCATTTGAAATGCACTCAGCAACTACTTACACGCTCGTACAGTAGGGGATGAGCCAACACCTACGGTGTGAGGGTTATTGCTACTACCTGAATGCCTAGACCTCAGTAGGTAGGTAGCGTGGGGTTCTGATTCGTATTTTACGATTGAAAGTCAATGGCTTAAACGAATGAACTGCAGCTCAGCTCGAGGAAACTTGAATTATTATGTTTTGCCCATTAGTGGTATAATTCTAGATGGGATGTCCCGAATTTCTAATAGGGGGGGGGGGAAGTAGTCAACAATACCATTCCATGAGGTCTGCACAGTATCAGGAACTGACTGAAGTAGGGAAATGTGAACCATTGGGTTCTGACCCTCTGGCTGCATGGTAATGTGATCGCCACGATCCCTAATGGGGCGCAATGTTGAAGAGTCCTATGCTAAAATGAAACAGCTGCTCAGTGATTCTAGGTTTTCAATGATTCTCCTACTGATGTCGTTCCATGATGAAACCAGTCGATCCCCACAAACCTCTAAATTGCATTATTCATTCATTGTTAACCCAACTGATAGCTTCTACCTTGGTCTAGTAGTTAAGAGTTGCTCCTTTAGGTTCACCTATTTCAGAAAGGTCTGTTGGTTGTTGGTAAAACAGAAAGCAGTAACGATTCTGGTGTAACTAGCTACGCTGTGGTGAGTGTTCGTTAGGAAATTCGTACACCTGACTGGATGATTCGGGTCAGCAGTAAGATGTTTTCCATAGATAACCAACAGTCTACATGAATGCTGCCTTCCGTGTGGAAAGTAGGCCTTAAAAAAAGTAAGCCCCCAAAATACCACACTCTTCCTTGTCTAACAATGTCGACGATATAAGTTTTTCACTCGAATTTAAGCCAACTCTAGTTAAATCTTAAACAATGTGCATCAAGCGCATATATCCTACAGGCTGTGTGATCATTCACCGATATTACTAATGTAATTTCTTTTTCTAATATCTCAATAAGAATTGATATTCCACGGTGTAAGCATTCCAGAAGTGTTAACCGCCCTCACAACTCTATCATTACTCAAATCATCTCAACTTTATTGTCAGGTTGATATTTTAAAGAGTTGCCTGTTAACAGGCTGTGAGTATATATGAACAGTGTTGTAAACTTAATATGGTTTTCACTTGAGAAAATCCATCCGAAAATTACTGAAACAAATAGTTCTATGTATAATAATAGACTGATAGACAGATAGTTCGAATCAACGTACAACCTCACCCCTAGACGTATCGGTATAAGTTGCCATTATTCACAGTAATAATACAAAGAACAGGCAAATAGTTAAAGGAGTGATATTAAAGTAGATAAAGTTTTGTAGGACAATAAACAATTTAAAGATAAGTAGCAGTGGAAACATTCAAACTTTTGAAGATGTCAATCAAGGCGGAATACATCTGGACGGACCATTGTGACCGATTTTCAGTCATCCTATGGTCTTGGGGACTTCATCATCGAGTATCAATGGTAAAACCATCACTCATTTGAGGATGCAAAGACGTCCACCTGATGAGCCCGTCTTGTATTTCACCGATAGTCACTTATTACATCAAACTACTGTCCCCGAAAGGTGAAAATGATCATTTAAATGCGAGTGGATCGCAACTCATATCATAAACGGAAAATCAGTACAGAAGCAAGAAAGGAGTAGAAACACCAATTACTTATTAGTAGTATAGTCAGCTTAGTAATGACGGACAGTGGAATCCAGGATGCGCACTTCGTCCTATTTGGGACTCATCAGCTGAATGTACCTGTTTCCCAGTGAGTGTTGTCCCCACCGGGACTCGGACTCGGGAGCGACTGCTCCAAACGCCAGCTCGTTATCCACTACACCACCGTAGTATTGAAGAAGTGTTCCAGTTTACTCTTGCTCTTCTGTATACATACGCAAAAATTAGCGTAACTAATCGCTTTCGAGTAGTTCATGTAAAAGAAATACTGTCTAGTACATGTATGGTACGCAAACATCCTTTTCGCTACATTTTCTCTACCTTTTTATTCTCAAAGGCTAGTTGTTTCAGTCCAGAAGTGCTTCAACCACATCCAAATGCTGATGTTCTCGATGCTTGTGCTGCTCCTGGGAATAAGACGTTACAATTAATTTCTATGCTGTCTGATAAAGCAACAGTTTTCGCTATAGACCGTGATCCAACCAGGTCAGTTTTTTGTTGTGGTTTCATTACAGAAACATTGATACAATCTGTAAAAATGCTTCACTTTCCTTTCCTTTTTGAGATAAATGTTGATGATGTTACCGAACCTGAGGGATGAGACATCTGAGCTACTGATCCATGTTATATCAATAACTGACTTAGGGTAATAACCAGTGAAAGTTCAGATTATCACCATAGTCACTACAATCTACGCAACTGTTTGGACGCTATTTGATCTGCGAATTTATTATGGTTTCAAAACTGTTATAGCTTCTGATGATAGTTGGATATCGACTGTCAGCTACCAACATCTTATAGCTTCCAAGTTCATTCCTGACCCAAACGATTAGTGAAGAAGACAGCGAAACATGAAGTAACATGTATACAGACCGACGACTTGAGGTAATCAAAAAAGGAGGAAATATCTAAATATTATACGTAGTCTGGCGCTTTAAAATAATAGCATTCATTCACTGATTGTCCGTCAGCCTAACTGTAGACGTTATTATTATTATTTGTCCTTTGGGTTCCTAATGGAACATAGGGATTCAGTAGCACGTCTCCAATACAATCTGTTCTCTGCAATCTTTTGAACCTGGCTCCACAACAGCCCACAAGCTCTCATTTCCTCCTAACATGATCTCCTCCATATCACCCTCACCTCGACCGCCCAACTGGTCGCTTCACATCTGGGTTCCACTCGAGTGCCTGGCCTGATGCGTGATGTCCCCAGTCGGCCTTCTCAGTGTATGCCCAATCCAATCCCATCCATCTCCACTTGCTTCCGATGCATATTTGTTGAGTGATAGGTTGTTGGTTGGTTGGTTTGTTGCCAGGCAGCCAGAGTTCATTGTTGTTTATTCTTATTATTCTGGCCATCTGAGCTTCAGTAAGGAGCCAGTGTCTGTAGTTGTTGATGAATGTCTGTAGATTGTTGGAAATGCTTTTGGTGACGCGCCAAATCTCTGAGCCATCATACAGAAGCACTGACTTGATTGACGTTGGTGTTTAAAATCCAGATCTCGTTCACGCTTTATGCTGAGTGTAGAAGATCTCCACACTGTTTTCAGGTTGATGAACACCTGTCTTGCATGCTGTTCGGTCGTGTCTGGCTTTGACGTCGTTGTCTGTGCGTGTGCCGCCTGTAGTTGAAAGAGTGCTTCCTATATATGTGAAGGAGGTTACTTCCTTTAAGTTTCTCCCGTTGATGGTGATTTAAGCTTCTTGTTGTTGTTGTTGGTGGTGGCGTTGGTAGGGTATCTTCATCACCTCTGTCTTTTCTATGTTCACTTGAAGTCCCGTCTTCGCTGACCTGCCTCTTCTGGCAACTTGTTAATTTTTCGCCTGTAGATCTTCAAGTTTGTGTGATATTAGACACAAGTCATCAAATCCAAATCTTCTAGGATGTTTTCCCCGGTCCAACCAGCGTATCCCCCTCTTGTCACAGCTCCTCAGTGTTTGTTGCATGATCCAGTCGACCACAATCAGGAATATCATCGGTGATAGTAGGCAGCAACCTTGTCTTACTCCTGTCTTCACCTCACTTCAAAGGCATCATTGAACTTCCCATTGTGAATTACTTGTCATATGGCGTCTTCATGTAGTTGTTGAATGAGGTTGATAAAGGTTTGTAGTATTTCGTAGTATTGAAGCAGTTTCCAAATTACCTCTCGGTTGACGCTGTCAAGGGGCTGTAGACGTAATTACCACAAAGTCTGTTTCCACACTACTTTGTTTGATCCACTTATAACTCAAACTTATAAAGTAATTCTATGGAGACTGCCAATGATGACCTATGTTGCAATTTACTTGATGATGGCTAGCAGTGGAATTCAGGAGTCACGTTTCGTCTTAGTTGCGACTCGTCATCTGTATCCAATTCTTGTGCAACAGTTATCAGTCATTATCGTTTGTTGATACTCATAATTCTCCATTGTCAAGTTGATTAACCTCCACATGTATACGGGTAATTCATCCTATTTGAAACTTGTTAGTTTTATGTACTTGTTCTAGTGCCTAAAATTGCCCTTGTGAAAAATGTTTTCCTATTTGATACTATGCATTGGGGCTTCGAATCTTAGTGAGAAACCCCCATCACCTGCTGGGATGCAAGTATATGCCACTGATAAGTTCCAAATAAGATAGAATATGCACCATCGACTCTACTGTTAGACATCATCAAGTAACATAATGAATAAATAAGGCAGTGTTGAGGCATTGGTATACGAGTTCATGTACCAAAAGAGTTCAATCAACTCGATTCTGTATTACACTGAAAAATTATAAGTATCAACATATAATAACAGTGATCTATATTTATATTGCTGTTAATAAGATTTTCGTTATGTCATAGATTTCATAATTTTTATATAACCCACTTTTTTTAATCATCGTATAATTATTGTATTATTTTGTCGAGTTGAAGGCGACCTTCGACTCTGTCGATCGAGATGTTTTATGGAAATGTCTCTCACTGAATCGGGAGTACCGAGTAAGTACGTCACTCTGTTTATATGCTGTTTACTCGAACAAAAGCTTATGGGCATATTAGAGTATATAGTCAGATGTCAGGTCAACAGTGTCAGAGGTGCCTATTCAATTTTTCCATAAATGTTCTTATAGACGTCTCTCTTTCATCATCCAACATCACAGTAGATCTAGAATACACAGATAACAAAGTCCTGTAAGGGACATCTAATTAAACAATTGAAAGCTATTGAATAGTAATATTCAGACATTGTGAATTTCTTTCGAAGACAATCGGAAACAAAGTGAATAAACAATTTCTCAACAATAAACCATACATTTGAGTTACATGTAGAGCACAAAGCAATATTGATTAACAGAATACAAATATCGAGTGTTGAAGTATTTGTGAGTTTATCACTATTGAAAAACACTTTACAAAGGGTGTATCAACTGTAGAACAGCAACTTCAACTTCACAGCCTGTTTACTTGATGTACTGATATAAGATGTGGGAACTCGGAGAATTAGGTAGTATTACCTGGTCATATGTTGATCGTGATAATTGTTATTATCATCGAGGAAATTTTAAAATTTCTTCTCATTTCCCACTACATAAACTAAACTAGTTGGTAAACTCTTTTCACGTCTTATCTTTCAAATAGTTTCATGTTTTATCAATATGTTTTCATTTAAAGGATTATTTGTTATATATTTTTTCAGATTTCATCATCTTTGTGATAATCTAATTTCTCATGGAGTAAATTGTGTATCTGTGATGGATGTATCTCATTCAGATGTAACCAAATATCATAAGAATATGAAATATTCACAGCCAAATGTTGAAGCTTATTGTACAGATTTTCTTTCCATCAATCCATATGATCCAAAATTTTTCAATGTTCAATCAATTCTATTAGATCCTTCATGTAGTGGTTCTGGTCTATCATTTCGTCAATCTGATGATGATCAATTAACTGATGATAGATATCATTATAAAGGTGGATATGATAATGATATGTATAATGAAGACTATACATCTCGTCTTAAACGTTTATCTAATTTTCAAGCTATCCTGTTAAAACATGCATTAAATTTTCCAAATGTTCAACGTGTTGTTTATTCAACATGTTCAATTCATCCAGAAGTTAGTATATATATTCATCTTCTATCAAGTAGTTTAGCTTACTATATTATAGTGATGTGATTGTGTATATGATTATATTGATTATCATTATATTATTTTATTATTTGTCCCTTGGGTTCCTAATGGAACATAGGGATTCAGTAGCACGTCTCCAATACAATCTGTTCTCTGCAATCTTTTGAACTTGGCTCCACAACAGCCCAGAAGCTCTCATTTCCTCCTAACACCATATCCTCCATGTCACCCTCACCTTGACCGCCCAACTGGTCGCTTCCCATCTGGGTTCCACTCGAGTGCCTGGCCTGATGCGTGATGTCCCCAGTCGGCCTTCTCAGTGTATGCCCAATCCAATCCCATCCATCTCCACTTGCTTCCGATGCATATTTGTTGAGTGATAGGTTGTTGGTTGGTTGGTTTGTTGCCAGGCAGCCAGAGTTCATTGTTGTTTATTCTCATTATTCTGGCCATCTGAGCTTCAGTAAGGAGCCAGTGTCTGTAGTTGTTGATGAATGTCTGTAGATTGTTGGAAATGCTTTTGGTGACGCGCCAAATCTCTGAGCCATCACACAGAAGCACTGACTTGATTGACGTTGGTGTTTAAAATCCAGATCTCGTTCACGCTTTATGCTGAGTGTAGAAGATCTCCACACTGTTTTCAGGTTGATGAACACCTGTCTTGCATGCTGTTCGATCGTGTCTGGCTTTGACGTCGTTGTCTGTGCGTGTGCCGCCTGTAGTTGAAAGAGTGCTTCCTATATATGTGAAGGAGGTTACTTCCTGTAAGTTTCTTCCGATTATCTTGATGGAATAATAATTATTCACTTATTCATAGTAAGCATTTTTATCTCCATTTACTTCAATCCTACTACATAAACCTGGATATTGTCAATGAGTTGACGACAATTAGATCTTGAAAACTACTAACTATGAGCTACATTGTACCTACTGTCTGCTGTATATTATATTCCCTTGACATTAATTCACCCAAGTATAACGGTAAATTCATTGATAGTTCAGTCAGACTCATGTAGAGTAAATTGTATAATCTATACAGTATCATATCTTTGTAGAGTTATGGCATATCGGTCCAACCAGTTGACTTTTAGGTAATGGGACACAAACTGACAGCTAATATCAACGTATAACCTCGTATACAAGTGTATCACTCCGAGTTGTTACCCTTCACCATAACATGCCAACAACAAGTGGATACAAAAGGAATGATATCAAAGTAGACAGCGGTCTATGGGAAGAGACAGAATTCAAGAAATGAAGGTTAGTCAAACATCGAAGCTTTAGAAGAAGTCAATGAGTGAATAAATTTGCGCCATTGTGGCTAGTTTTCAGCCGTATCACATAAAGTCTTAAATCACTGATTCCTGTGGTTTTGCGGACTCCAGACAAGTAATTCATACCTCCTTAAACGAGTCAGACCATCAGTCAGAGACTTCACTGACTGCTCTGACAACCTTGAACCCTCTTGTAACGCAGTACATGTCAAAGCCACCTCAGCTGATGAAAGTTCATAACCTCCTCAATCGATTTGTCTTTCTTGTCTAGTACCCTTTGCCTGACTAACCTGAACATTATTCACACAGTGATTCCAGGAAACGCGATCAGGACTACGACGACACTTCTGAGTAAAGACTTGTAATCGCTTCATGTCGTCTACTTTCGATTGGTATATCTGATAGTTGTATAATAGGAGAGAATGAACTGGAGCACAGTATATTGATGCATTGATAGGTAGTTGGATATCTCACCAGTTGGCTCCAGAGATAACGCAAGTTGACAAACGTCAAACAAAAGAAACTTTACTAAGGTACATGTAGTGTAGGAAAAAATTGGTTCTTTTGTACACATAAAGATGGTTTCAATTTGTGTATGGCTGTGGCTTCCGCAAATCTCAGAATATGTCCCTGACTGTTTCGATAATAAAACTTAGAAAGCTGTTTGGATATTAATAGTGTAATTACAAGACGAAGTTTATCTGAACAGTGTGAGTGATGTATTTGCCCAATACATTTTAAACAATCTGATGCCCTACACATTTACTTTTCCAGTCAATTTAAATTAAACCGAGGGGTGGGAGAACAAGTATAACAATTAAAATAATAGGGGGATTAAAATTAAGAACAAATTGCCTTCAAATGGCTTCAAAAACAAATGGAGTGTGAAACAGTGATAAACGTTGATGGGAGATGACCCTCTTCATCTAGAGCTAAACATATCATAAAAACACGTCACAAAATTGATATTCAAACAGCTTCGAAAGTTTTATATAGAAACAGTCAGGGACATATTCTGAGATTTGCGGAAGCCACAGCCATACACAAATTGAAACCACCTTTATGTGTACAAAAGAACAATTTTTTCCTACACTACATGTACCTTAGTAAAGTTTCTTTTGTTAAGGAGATTGTGATCAACTAGGTCACTCATCCTGTTTGTCCTCCCACGCCTTGGTTAGATATATATTGACTGGACAAGTAAATGTATCGGGAGACTGGATTGTTCAAAATGTATTGCGCAAATATATCACTCACATTTGTTCAGATAAACTTCATCTTCTAATTACGCTATCGAAAATCGGCATAAGTGTTGTGTTATGTGTTGAAAAAATGAAACTTCTCCTAAATTTAATTAAAACGAAACTCATTTCATATGAGGATTGGGGAGGAATTTACTGCTACGACCTTCTCAATTTCCATAATAGACGACTACTCTGAGTTCAAATCTCTGATAGTATGTTATTTGAATATTCTTTGCTTTTAAAGGTTCCAGCTGATTTTTATGCTGGAGATTTGATGAATTCCATCTAAATCTATCCACACAGATATTTATGCAACTGAGCAGTCACCTAAATAAGCTGCCATACCTGTTATATGATGGTCATTGATATTCACCTGGTTGGTTGGTCATACCTATCAGGGGGATTGAATGGTATACAGATTTATGACTTAACAATCAAAAGTTGGCGGCTACACTAACTTCTCTAGGTATCAATTCTTACTACTACCATAATTTTATCATATAAATGTAATTAATCCAATTTTTATTCATAATTATAATAACCTTTCTACTATTCTCTAATTGTTTAGGAAAATGAAGCAGTTGTACGTGAAAATGCTGATCGAGTATCTGATAAATTTTATTTAGAAACAATATGGTCGGACAATTTATCTAATTCAGTAGATTCTACGACATATTCTCCAATTTGGAAACATCGTGGTCTCAGTGAATATCAATGTGAATCATGCTTACGATCATCTGAGAAAGATTTAACAAATGGATTTTTTATTGCCTTATTTGTAAGGCGTAAAACTGACAGTTTATTGAAAATCTTATCCTCGTCAACAACAACAACAACAACAACAACAACAGTTGATCACTCCTCACCAACTATAGTCACTACTGATAATATCGACCAAAATGAAAAGAAACAAACTGATGATCAAGAAATCTTTAAATTTAAGGTGCGAAAGAAATGTAGGCGCGTATAAAACATCTATCTATCTATGTATCTGTTCTATGCATTCTGTATATATTTGTTACTAGAGCTAGTAAATACAACCTTTTCAACTATAGATTTTGTCTTTTTATGTTATGTGATATTCTGGTCTGTGCATTTTGCTATCGAAACTATATATATATATATATATATATATATATATATATATATATATATATATATATATATATATATATATATATATATATATATATATATATTATATATATATATATATATACTACACAATAGTATACCAACGAAAAGTGGATGGAGAAGTAGTGATATCAAAATAGACAATGGTCTATGGAAAGAGCGAAAATTGAAAAATGAATGTTAGTCAAACAACGAAGCTTTACAAGACGTCAAGGAGTGAATATGTTTGCTCCATTGTGACTAGTTTTCAACTATATCACATATAGTCGTAAACCAGTGATTGCTGTCTTTTGGGGACTGAGCTACTGTTTGGCTGTGAAACATGGCCATTGAAGGTGGAAGACATGAGAAGGCTGGTTTATGGTATTTGACCACGGTTGCCTTGGTAGTGTAGGCCGTATTCAGTGGTGTCACCACGTGAGTAACGCAGAGGTGAGGTATAGAGTTTTAAGGAGGGAGAAGAAGTAAGTTTGTTGAGGAGGTTGTGAAGGTTGATGGAGTGAGATGGCTGGTTGGGACACGTGTTAGGTATGCCTAGTCACCGATTGCCTCGTCACACAATGTTGGCTGAAGTGAAGTATGTCGAGGATGGAAAAAGGCTTGAGGTGTCCAGACTAAAACATGGGATCAATGTCTGCAGTGTTTGGCTGTTGCTTTGAGCTATGTGGGGCGATGCAGACTAGTTGGTTGAGGTTGGTGGGACATGAGAAACGAGTTGTTGGAGACTGACTGTAGGTGATATGAGTGAGAATGGATGTCAGTGGGGCAGATGTACACACACACACACATTATGGTCATCTTAACGACAGTATACCGACTCTCACCACTTTCTCATTCCTCGTTTCTCTCTCTTTTACTACTTGATATTTCTTTTGAGTGCATTGTCTTATCTTCGTCTTGTGCCTCACTACGTTTTTACTTGATGTAGTGATATGAGGTGTGGTAAGTTGGACGGTTACTCAGTAATTCCTGTTGCTATGTTGATCTGGATGGATGATAATGTTTTATGCATCAGCCAGATATTTCATCGAGTGGTGGTATGCTATGGGCTGGCAACCCTGAACCTTCTCTAATGCAGTACATATCGAAGCGACCTTAGTTGATGAAGGTTTATAACCTCGTTAAGCGACTAGCCTTTCCTGCTTAGTATCCTTTGCCTGACTGACCTGAACATTGTTCACACATTGATTCGACGAAACGCTATCAGGGATCCGAAGAAAGTAATGAGTAAAGACTTGTAATCGCTTCGTGTCGTCTACTTTCGATTGGTATATCTGATAGTTGTATAATAGGAGAGAATGAACTGTAGCACAGTATATTGATGCATTGATAAGTAGTTGGATATCTCACTAGTTGGCGCCAGAGGTAACTCAGGTTTGCAAATGTCAAATGGGCCTTCTGTATCCGAGCTGTGATTTTGTCAACAACCAGTTGGTTAGAGCTGATACCACTTCCTAAGTAAGTGAAGTGACCGATACACTCCACCACTTCACTCCTTATCTTTGAAGTAGATTTTGTTGCTGATCACTTCTGGAGCATCAGCTTACAACTGTCAGGTGCGAAACGCACACTAAACATACTCAGATTTCTGCTCAGCACGTCGTGAAGACCCTGTATTTTGTCACCATCTTGACTTAGTATGACAGTATTGTCTGAATACTCCAAGTCAACCAGATGACATCTGGGGACTAGATCAATTGCTATAAAGCAGACCTATTTGAGGTTATGCCTATCAGTACGTCTAGAAATGATGACAATGGGGAATACCCCTGGCGGACACTACTTGTTGTCGTCAATAACCAGCAAATCTTGTTGAAAATGTGGTACTATTTTCACTTCATTTATGGGAAATTAATTTTGGTATTATTCTTTGTCGTGGGAATTTTGTCATTCAACAACCAATTCCCTTAGTTGACCTTAGCATTTTCGTACCAGATAAATCGTGACCCATAACCTTGATGTGCTGTTATCTTACCCAGTTCTCTTTTATAACATAACAGTTAGTTCCTTAGATAACATCTTCATCATTATACTACGATGTCATGAGATTTTAAATAGTGAGCATTCTTCTTCATCATTCTATCCCAAACTATCCACTTACTTAGGTTAAATCCCACTTTATCTACTGAGGTTTGGTCAAGCAAGTTAATAGGTAACTCATTACCTACTGCGGGGATTTACGCTTGGTTGATGAGTTTCATTTTTAGTGGAGGGATAGTGGTGGTCTAAAGGAAGTTAGATTTCTAGATATTGTACTTATGACTCACCTTATGCTTTGTCTTTCGTCAGCGTACACTTTAGTACCCAGTTTATGAGAATATGTTTCTTTGTAAACTAAAATTAAATGGATATTAGGAAGCCCCTTAACTTATTTGTCAGCTGTACATATACTGTTTTGTAACTCTTCTTGGATGTAGATTATAATATTCAGATCTCATGACAAGTTTTCTGTCGGTAGTTGTTGTTGTTGTTTCGAAAATCACCTATTTGAATTTCAATCATGTTAGCGTACTCATTATCTCAATGTATAGATATTCAGGAGTTTATATATACTACTCGAACCTTTAAGGTAAGGATTACTGATACTAACGAATAAAATCAAAGATGATGACCGTCATTAAAGATTAAGACATGACCATCATCAATTATCCAACCAATTAGCTCAACTTTAACTTGTTGATTACTAGAACAAAAGTCTCTAGTTCCCAAACTCACAACAAGTTATATCTAGAGGTTTGTAGAGATTTATTAATTGATTCTAAGTTAGAAGTCATCATAAACTGACTTCAGTTGGAGGAACATTGGAAACGTCTAGGAGCACTGGACAGCTCATTCTTCTTGGTATGGAGCTTAATGGCAGTTCGGACGCATGACTCTTACCCCTGAAATATTACATAACCCTGTGATTGATTGACATTTCAAATTTTTTGGGATTTAGAAATATTTCAAGTTGATATTCATTATAGACTGACATCAGTTGGAGGGACAATGGAAACCTGTGAGCACTGGACAGCCGTTTCGTCCTAGTACGGGACTCTTCAGCAGTGCGCACCCACGAACCCCGCTGGGGGTCGAACCGCAACCTTCAGGTCCCGTGACCAGCACGTTACCATTGAGCCACTCAGTCAGAATCCAATGGTCCATGTTTCTAACTTCTATCAGTTCACGACATAGCGCGATCGCCACCTAGTGTCATCGTTGAGTATTTGTGCTCACCACCACAATGTTTGCCCCACTTGGTCATGACTTCTCACTGGAACTTCAGAAATCACATCTCGAAGCTAGTCACCAACGAGCACTAGTTCAATTGAATTTGAGGGGTTTGTAAGAATTTAGAAATATTTCAAGTTGGGCGGGGTCGTGGGTGCACATTGCTGAAGATTACCGTACTAGGACGAAACAGCTTTCCAGTGCTCTCAGGTTTCCATTGTTCTTCCATCTAATGTCAGTTTACAATGAATACCAACTTGAAATTGATGTGTTGTCTATGAGCAAATATTTTTTCTGTTATTTTCAGTTGATTTACTGTTGTGTGGCTTTCTAATTGAAGAATTTAGACATCATAATGCAATCAGAACAAGAAGTCTCCTTGGAAACAGTAAGTGTTCTCGTCGTAAGTTTCGGTTTTTTTATCAATAATGTTATTCATATATGGTGTAAATAAACTGATTTTAATTCAGTGTATAATGATTAAATCACTATTATTTTCAGTTGAGATTCAATTATCTTGTCAATACTGCGTAATCCATTTTATTTTTTTGTACGCAGTGTAGTATTCATGAATATGGATGGTTAGAGACGTGTTCACCATTTATCAAGTATACATAATAGTCGAATGGCAAGGAAGTAAGCGATGGTGTCTAATATACTCGAGAGATATTTTGAAGTCACTAAACCGTGAACACATGGATAAATGTTGCTTTCATAGGATTAAGTATACATGGAATGTGAATGAGTATTTCTTCAGTTTTTTTCTTCAAAAAATTGTCTTCAAACTGTTAGGTTGAATTGTGTCGGAAGGTATGAACTATTCTGAAGTTTACCGTTTGACTATCTGAGATAGCCGTAGTTTGGCAAGTTAGTATTAATACTGGGTGATGATTGGAGATGAAATGAAAGTTTCGACGGCGACCGGATTCGAACCAGTGACCACTGGGTTTCCGACTGGATGCTGTACCTGGTAGCTCAGTTGGTAGAGTATCGGGCGGGAAACCTGTTGGCCGCTGGTTCGAATCCTGTCACGGTCCAAATTTTCATCTCAGCTTCAATCATCACCCAATATATGTACTAAACATAACATGTTCTATTTCAATTCAATGACACCATATATAAGCAGGTCGACGGTGTTGGTTTGGGAAATCTACTAGAACCCATAATCCCACACATCTTCATGTCACGCTTACAAAACACCATCCTAAAACCTGCAGTCGATAAAACCATTTTTCATTCAATAGATATTGATGATACCTTTATAATCTGTGAAAAACTACATTTCAACACCACATCATACTATGAAGTTTACGATGCACTATGCAGACAAGCAACAGTGTATTTAAGACAGTACTATAGAGAGAAGCATTCACTGCAAAATTAAATGGAGCGGTCAGTATTTAAACTATAACAACTTCTGCCCAATCAACTGCAAGAGAGGTTTAATGAGGACGTTATTCTAGACGGTAAATAGATTATGCACCCGAGAAAAAGTATGGAAAAGAATTTCAACTAATCGAACAATGTATACGCGGTAATGGTTAACGATGTGCTTCGTATATGAGTACTACCGGGTGCAATAATGTTGTAAAGAAACTAGTTTTTCTTACTTTACAACAAGAGTCAATGGATGAATTACGCAGTACATTGTCCAGGATCTATCTGATTGTGTACCAAACAATATGTACAATTAGACAAAGTTCTTACTCTTGTTAACTTCAACTTTATTTATAAGTTCACATGTATATGTAGTAGGCAAGTATGTAATAAAAATAGAGACAGAGGATAGTCGCTTACAAAGATCGCCGTGCACATGTCAAGGAGATTATTCTCATCACTTATTTGAAACGAGAACACCAACTAAATGCGATCAAATCCTTCATAGTAGTCAAGCAGACAAAACACCTCACAATTTCTTTGAATTATCGAAGCCACTGACACTATTCAACGAGTTCAACGTGAACTGTGTATTCTAGTAATGTTATGATCAGAAATGTGTAGTCTCTTTATTTATATTCTACTTCTTCTGAAATAGTATTTTTACATTACAAAACAATTTCATTTATACAAATCCTCTCTTTTTATCCACTTTTAGACAACAATGTTGACGGTTAATGAAAATATATCAAAGCGAAAACGTCGAAAATTAGAAAAATACTTAAAAAACAAAGAAGTAATTCATAATAAATACTTTTAACTTTAATTTTCTTTTATTGTTGTTGTCTAGGCTAGACGTGATGCAAGAAAAGCACAAAAACAACGTCGTAAAATGAGACAACAAAATCCTTTAGAGCAAGAAATGTTTACTGTTCAAACTAATAATAATAGTAATAAGGATATATTGATGAGGAAGTCGTCAAATCTAATGGATAATTCTCTTTCACGAAAAGCTTTACATCATCTTCCAAAAATGTCAGAATCAAAATGTCAAACTAGAGTTGTCATTGATTGTGCTTATGATCATCTAATGTCTTTCAAGGGCATATGTAAATTAGCCAATCAGGTAAAAATACTCAGATATCCTGTTTGATATATGTATTATTTCTATCTACAGGTTTGTGGAGGTTTATTAATTGAGTTAAAATTGGTATTCATCATGGATTGACATCAGTTGAAGGAATATTGGAAATCTGTGAGATCATCATCATCAATATGCAGTCTTCTGAACACCTTTCAGTAGCAATTTGAGAATGTTTGCGATGCGTTTCTCACCACCTACATGCAAACTGTTGCTCCAGGATTGGTTTTCAGAGGTACCATGGTTAACAGTAGAGGGTGAAGTGGTTGAGTGTGTCGATCACTTCACTTACCTAGGAAGTAGGATCAGCTGTGGTGCGTTGATCAGTGACCGGTGAAATTTCTGCATGGATACAAAAGGCTCGATTGGCTTTCGCCAAATTACGCCATCTATGGCGCCGCAGTGATATCCGTTTGTCTACTAAGGGTGGCTTGTACTGCACAGCAGTCCGCTCTCTTCTACTGTATGGCTGTGAAACATGGCCATTGAAGGTGGAAGACATGAGAATGCTGGTTTATGGTGTTTGACCATGGTTGCCTTGGTAGTGTAGGCCGTATTCAGTGGTATCACCACGTGAGTAACGCAGAGGTGAGGTATAGAGTTTTAAGGAGGGAGAAGAAGTAAGTTTGTTGAGGAGGTTGTGAAGGTTGATGGAGTGAGATGGCTGGTTGGGACACGTGTTAGGTATGCCTAGTCACCGATTGCCTCGTCACACAATGTTGGCTGAAGTGAGGTATGTCGAGGATGGAAAAAGGCTTGAGGTGTCCAGACTAAAACATGGGATCAATGTCTGCAGTGTTTGACTGTTGGTTTTAGCTATGTGAGGCGATGCAGACTAGTTGGTTGAGGTTGGTGGGACATGAGAAACGAGTTGTTGGAGACTGACTGTAGGTGATATGAGTGAGAATGGATGTCAGTGGGGCAGATGTACACACACACACACACATTATGGTCATCTAAACGACACTATACCGAATCTCACCACTTTCTCATTCCTCGTTTCTCTCTCTTTTACTACTTGATATTTCTTTTGAGTGTATTGTCTTATCTTCGTCTTGTGCCTCACTACGTTTTTACTTGATGTAGTGATATGAGGTGTGGTAAGTTGGACGGTTACTCAGTAATTCCTGGTGCTATGTTGATCTGGATGGATGAAGTCCATATATGTTGATCTGAGCCATTTGAACAGGTTTAGACTACCTTTCTGAGATTATCGAAATGATAGGAATCAGTCGTTAAGAATTTTCATTGAAATGCCTGAAGATAGATGACAATGGTACAGATATATTCAGTCTTTAACATATTCGAAAATTTGACTGAAGTTGATTTTCAGATTCCCTTTCTTCCTGTACGCCTTTGTCTACTTCGATATGACTTTTTCTCTCCACTTGTTCGCTATATGGAAACTTGAACCAATGCGCTTCTGTGTGAACGGTTCTATTTCTTCGATTTTGTCTGTCTGTCTTAAGCTGTTGATAAGTCCTCAAAAGAAAGCAAACTGTATTGTAAATCAGTTGTGTGATACTGTTATATATATATATATATATATATATATATATATATATATATATATATATATATATATATAATATATTCCAGAACGAATATAATACGCGCGCTTAGCTGACAGCTAACTTGGTACGCAAGAGTCACTGACTGCAACTCCCGGACGAATAGAGAGAAGACCGAAGCTGGCAGATGGGAGAGTGTATCACTCCGAGAATATAATGATAATTCAATCCAAAACATGTGAATAAGTATACACATGACAAATGACCCTGTCCTCACTTTGAGGCATTTGCGATTTACATTACAATGGGGGCAGAAAATAGACTATTAGTCATATCGTAAAAATGATGTGGGAATGACACGTTAAAATGTTCAGATCAATAACAGTGTTTTATACAAAACTGGGGCATCACAACAGATACTGATTTTGTTTAATTGCAACTGTTAATAGACTGACTCTTTAGAGTTGTTTTTCGTGAATACTAATAAAAAGCAACAATCTGAACGAGAAATATGATTTCAATTATAAAAACGGATAAGATGGCAGGAGTGGCTTTTAGTTTACTCAACGTCAAGGTAGAAGTAACACTTGGACATGTTCTTTCTGAATGCAGACCTCAGACTTCATCATCATCTCATCAGCAACAGCCTCAGCTATGTTGAACAAGCATTATCCAGTTACATGTGATATCGTTTGTAGAATACAATGAATGACATTGAAAGCTTCGTAAGCATTTGTGCGATGTTCTATGTCAACTTGGTGCACTGCGACTAAACTTTTCACCACTCTCACTTCGCTCTTTCCCAACCAACCTGGTAAATACTCTCGTATCCGGAGATGCACCTACCTAGTCATGTGCTCTATATAACTAGTTCCACAGGAACAGTGAAATCGATATATGCAAGATGAAGAAGTAAGATTAGGTAGGGTATGCTTCAGTCTCGGATTGAGCATTGGCCGACTACTGAATGGTAGGCAAAGCCGATCTGCATAAAACGTCTTATTGACTGGTATAGCTAGGTGTTGTGGTAGAATGTCACTTGCCACCACATCTCCCTTGAATTGTAAGCGTAGAAATATAAAGGCTTCTTCTCTACTGTCATTAGTTATTGTTTAGCACCAATGTAGTTGATGTAAGTTTTGATGAACATATCTGGATATCCGTTTCCACTTAGAATATCATGGATACACTCTTTGAAAGAAATCGATCTTACTCTAAATGTCAAACACCTGATTTTATACTATGTTTGTACTTCATCGATACGAAGGTGAGAAAGTGTGTAAACTGTGCATCAGACGTTAGCACATCAAGAAAGCGTATCGAATTATTAATTTCATTTTCATATGATGTATGAGAGCTGTTGAAATGGTTCACAATAGAATTTATACATATATACCTATTAAAGACTAGAAAAGTATCATCCATGTATTGACAGTACAACTTCATATTGGCAATTTGATCTTTCAAAGGACCATTTGAAAATTTTGCCAAATATATATATATATATATATATATATAATATATATATATATATATATATATATATATATATATATATATATATATATATATATATATATATATATAGATCCGCAGATATTGGGCCTATTGATGTTCTCATAGCCGCCACTTTGTCAAATTGTCTGTACAGATTACTGTTGAAGATGAATTATACATTTATTGTACATTTTAGCAATAGCTCTTTCAAAACCATAACAACCAATATCAGTGTTTAATTTGCTTTTTCAATAATTGTTCATAAATATACTTGATGGTTTCCATCAGAGGGGTGTTAGTAAACAAAGATGTGATATCTAAGGATCCCATCTGTTTGTTTAAAACTTTCAAGTTTTTTTTTACTTTGTCTACAAACTGGAAGGTATCTTTCACACTAGATTTTGCCAGTTGATCTCGCAAAGGTTGAAGTAATCATACTAACCATTTAGCAATGGTATGGTAAGGTGAGTCATGTCTAGGTCATGTCTAGGATAAGATGTAGAGAGGCACTTTAGGTTTGTGTATTCTTGGTAGACCATACATACGTGAAATCGTACTGCACATAGGCTTCAAGTTTTCAAATAAGCTTGATGATATTACATAAAGAAACTGAGGCTTTCTGGTATAACTTAACTGCTTCTTTTACAATTTATTAATTCCTGCATTTTACCTTTTCTTCTTGATTGTTTCCCATTAATCTTTCTTGGTCTTCTAAAAAAGGACTATATTATGTTGCGTAAGGCTTTGAAGGCCATCAGCAGGGTGAGTGACGTGCTTCTGGCTCAACTGATGAACGCTGTACTTGACAAACATTTAAATCCTTGCAAGCAACTAGCTACAGTAATTTTAACTGACTCTGAGCATCCACTTCATTCACAGCTCTCTCAATGTACCTCCTCAGGGAGGGCAAGGAGAAACTACTTCAGACTGTATGCTCGTGCAGCTAAGTATAAGAATTCGACTGTACCTCACCTAACACGCATATTATGTGAGGAAAACAATGTTACTGGAATATATCATACTGAGGATTCCCAATTGTACCACAAATTGTTTGGAATAAAGTGAATTACTATTATTATTATTATTATTATTATTATTATTATTATTATTATTATTATTATTATTATTACTATGAGAAATGTATCTGACATCTTTCAGTTTGGTTAGTGAGATGATTAGATCCTTTTAGAAGTAGTATTCATCATGGACTGACATCAGTTGGGGAACCATTGAAAACCTGGGAGCACTGGACAGTTGTTTCGTCCTAGTATGGGACTCCTCAGCAGTACGCACCCACTACCCGGCTAGGGGTCGAACTCAGGACCTTCAGGTTTCACGGCGATCGCGTTAACCATTCAGCCACTGGGTGGGTTTCCACTGGTTCACAATTTCCAACTTCTGTCAGTTCACGACATAGAGCGACTGTCGCCCAAGGTTTTCAGTTAGCATCCACTTCACTTCCAACTGGTTGACCGCACAAGTCACAGGTCTCTTTTTTCCGGTCGGGACTTTTGTTGACTGTAGTTTGTGAAATTTCATTTCATCTTGCAATATTCAATCCATAATTACAACTCCAACTCCTTTATCAGGTCTTATGGTGATAATATTCTGATCATTTGTGAGATCTTTTAGAGCCTCATAATGTTCTCTAGTCAATATGCTTGTTGACTTATTTTCTTAATACTGATAGCAGCAATCTAATAGAGTCGACTTAAATCTTTTCAACACTGTACTAGATGATGTAACTAAATCAGCTGTTTATATGAATAGATGGACAAACTGTACATCTTTATCGATTTAATTAATTGACTTGCGAATGTCATTAAACTTACTCCGAAGAGATAAAACTTCTGTTTGTAATTTATCGAGTATATAATACTAGAATAATAAGGAATATACTTCTCTGGATTTTTCTATTAAACCTTTTCCCCTTAACATTTGCATAAATTAGGCGTATGTTTGTTTATTGTTGGTAACAGATGAATTGGCATAAATGTTGATACATTGTATAGGATGTATTTTTACTTGTGTGTAATCCCACCGTCGTATATATGGAACAAATATTTTGTGCATTATTCCTCAATGTTTCAATCTTGCTAGGAAGATCCTTTACAAGAGTATCAATGTGAGACATTAAGTTTTCAGGTTAATATTCAAGTTTTGGTACACAAAGTGGTGACCTTTACAATCATCCAATTACATAGTGATATCGAGCAAAGATCAATGTAATACAGGTGAGTGAATAAGCAACTCGATCAGAGAGGTTTTCCGTTGTGAGAGTAAGGGGGGAACAAATATAGGGTGGGGAAATTTTTCAGTTCGTCTATGAAAAGTACAATGGGGTTGTGAGACATCAAGGGTGAGAAAGAATAGATTACTAGTTTGGAAGGATGAATACTTGAAGATGAGACAATATATCTTAAATAAATAAATAATAATAATAATAATAATAATAACCACAAATGTACTTTTGATAACACTTGAAGTATGAGTGATAACAACAAAATGGATTATGTTACGGTCCATCGAATGTATATGACTCAGAAAGTACTGTGAAATTGATGAAAATAGTAGATCAATAGGATGTTATGTAATAGGACTAGACAAGCTATTAAAATGCAACCATTCCCCCTCCCCCTTTCTCCCTCTTTTTTCCCTTTCCTTTTCCTTTCTTTTCTCTTTTTTCCTCGTGGTTAAGACGATTAAGAGAAATAACACCGAAAACTATTCAACACAAGGGTAAATTCGGAATAAATCATGTGGAATGAAATTGTGTTTTGCCTTCTCTTCAGATATTATTTATAACTGCCTGTGCTAGCCATTAATGTTTGCCACTAATATTAGTGGATATCTAACCCATCTTTTCTGTTGAAGGATATGAACAGATGTGCAAAGCTTCTGTAATGGTCCGCTCTTTGTGAGAAAGAAAATCCTTTTACAGAATTTTTGTCTGTTCGGACGATATCTTATGACCTGAATATAGGGCATGAGCTACGATAGCATAGCTTTTTTCAAGTTGATATGTTGATATTTGAAAAGTTCTTGACGAAACTGTTCTCAAGAAATCTGATAATGAGATTGAAACCACTGGTTACTTGCACATATCAAAATCTACACAACATCATTAGTTTCTTCAAAGTAGCAGATTCTCCTTATGAATGAATATTAACTGGTATATAACATAGTAGAGCTGTGGCTTAGTTATCTAACCAGACAGACAACATCAACATAGAACCAGAGATTAGCGCATAACAATTCAAGTTGTCACACTTTGTACTAGCGTATCGGGCGGGAAAACACTAAGATGAAATAGAGAAGAAAAAGCAATCAACCTGGTAAAAAGTCATGAAGCGACAATAAGGAAGGAGGGAAAACTACTGAAACTGAATATGAAGTTTAAGTTGTAGATAGTGTAGGAACACATCTGCACTATTGAAATCGATTCTTAGCCATATTGTCTAGAGTTTCCAATCACTGGACTGCAAGTGGAGAGGTGTACATTTACCTCACACGACTTAGACTAACAGTCAGAAACTTCATAGACTGATGCCACATTTTCTCTACTCTTAACCTTTTTCCTGTCTACACCTAGTTCAGGTTACATTGTGCATTGAGGCGTGTAGTGACTAGGCATGCGTAGCACATTTTCCAGCCACCTCAGTTGACAACGGTTCTCGAGTTATCAGTTGACTTTCCTGTTTCTTTCCTAAGGACTTTACACCGGACTTCTACATTATTGAATGTGTGGCACCCTAACATAGTTTATGTTAAGAAAGCAACAGTGGTCAAACATCTGAAGCCTCTTCATATGCACTACTTTTTATAACTATGTTTCACAACCCTATAGTAGAATACACCGAACTGCAGAGCAGTTGATTTAAGTTGAATCAGCCTTAATGACTAAGTAAAGGGATTGTGAAATACTATTACCATTTTGACTATCTGAGATAGCCGTGGTTTGGCAGATTAGTATTGATACTGGGTGATGATTGAAGGTAAAATGAAAAATTTGGACAGCGGCCAGATTCGAACCAGCGGCCACCGGGTTTCCGACCCGATACTCTACCAACTGAACTATGTGGTCCGACTACTGACTAAATTTTTATTCTACTTCAATCGTTGAGGGTTTCACACGACTACCATTGATGATTGTACCTCCTAGCTCAGCTGGTAGAGGATTGGGCCGGAAACCTGTTGGTCACTGGTTCGAATCCAACCATTTCATTTCACCTTCAATCATCACCCTGTATAAATACTAGTAGATCACTTTAAAGTTAATTTTATGAATATAACTTATGATTGTTATTATAATTATCACTTTTAAATTTGTTTAGATTTCTAAATGTTACGCTATCAACCGACGTGCAGAACATCCAGTCCAACTTTATATCACTGGCTTAGGTCCTTTCAAAACTTCTACCAATACTAACACCAATAACAATATTAGTAACAATGATACAACATTTGAGAAAAATCATTCATCTGCTGTAAAACAATTGGAAATGTTCCCTCCACGATTATATGACAAATTGAAATTAAGCGATTGTAATAATTGGGATGTGAATCTATGCGAGGTTAGAAATCGAATATTTGAAACGATTAGTTCCTTTTATAAATTTGGATAATGTAATTAGAAGATGTAGATTTCTCGAAAAATGTGGTGATGTATTAGCGCTATACATTTCGAACAATCTGATCCCCCCCCACACATTTACTTGTTAAGGCGGTATTATATATGAAAACTGGAAGTGGGGGAAGGACAAATATGACATAATTCAATAATAAAAAAGATAATGGGAGGGAATAAAAGATAAGACTTGAAGACAATCTTGGTAATACGATAAAATAAGCATTATCAAGGTAGGCTTAATATAAGGACAAACTGTTTTTTTTATATTTATGGCTAACGCCTCAATAAACTTAAGTATACGCCCCTGACAGTTTCTGTACAAAATTGTAAAGGCTGTCTTGATATCAGTTCTGTGACTCTTATCAATGATATGTTTCGCAATGGATGCAGATGATGGTTGTCTGCCATCTGCGCTTATCAATGTATGTGAATCCAGCTGCTTTCGTAGCTATCTTGGAGCATGTTCCCCTACCCTCAAGTGCATATCACGATTAGTTCTCCCTATATATGTTTGTTCACACACACTCATGTGAATTTATAAACGCAGTGGGATGTAACGCAATCGTTTATACAGCGTTGAGGTCTAGGTAGCATCAGGTGTTTGATCTTCTCAACAACGATAAGTTGAGCTGCATAGTACGTTTTGCTAACAGCAGACCTTAACCTCCGTTTTAATATTATGCTGTTAGATTCTCTTATGTATGGTAACGCGATGTGAACGCAGTTCTTCGAAACAGAGTACAGATTAGGTTTCAGTCTTGGATGATTTTTACAGCGGTTTATGAACTTCAATGGATATCCATTTTCCACTAATGTTTCCGTTAGTATTTTGATATCATCATCCATTGAGTCCTCCGTACAAATATGCTGGATCCTTTTGAATAGACAAGTTACCAAACCTCGCATGGGTGTGCAAAAACTGTTTGTCTTTACATTAAGCCTACCTTGGTAATGCTCATTTTATCGTATTACCAAGATTGTCTTCAAATCTTATCTTTTATTCCTCTCATTATCTTTTTTATCATTGAATTATATCATGTTTGTCCTTCCCCCACTTCCAGTTTTCATATATAATACCGCCTTAACAAGTAAATGTGTGGGGGGGATCAGATTGTTCGAAATGTATAACGCTAATACACCACATTTTTCGAGAAATCTACATCTTCTAATTACATTATCCAAATCGAATATTATTTGTTTTTACTTTTTACAAGATCAGATTTCTTCAATTGATTATTTATTTTTAAGGTTTTCTTCTTCATGAATTGATATTGTTTGGAGAACTATCAGAAACCCGGTAACGTTGTATAACTGTTTCGTCTTAGTATGGGACTCTTCAGCAGTACGTACTCACGACCTGGCTAGTAATCGAATTCAGAACCTTCAAGTTTCAAGGCCAATGCATTATCGGTTGAGCCACTGGGTCCGAGTTCAGTGTTCCACAGTCTTCACGATAAAACCTGACTATTATTCAAGGTCTTTAGTTGGCATACAGTTCGCTTTCGGTTTATCACTCGAACCTTCGTGAAATCTGTTTCAAAACATCATTAATGAGCACTCAACAGTAATTTATTATATTGATTCGATGCAATTGATTGATTTCCTCTTCACTGAAAAGCTGTTTCACCCTAATATGAGCCTCGTCAGCGGCGTATACTCAATCCATAACTGCTACTATATCATTGAGACAGTTAATTAATGGGGATTTTATACTTTTGGCAATAAATTTCCTATAGAGTAGCCATCTGGTAATGTAATCAATAGTCAGTTAAGATTGTGCACTTGGTGAGATTACCATGATAAGTAAGTTTATGGCGTTTAGGACTTCGACGTTTTGTCGGAGGGTTTATGTTTACTGTTAGTTCCGTGGCTGGGCTGCTGGTGGTGGTTGTTGACTCAAGGGTTTTTTGAAGGAATTTGTTGAATAATTTATATAAAAACTGAGAAACGGTTAATTAAACCTATCAAATCATAATTACGAAAGATAATAAGGGCAAAATGAATACAAGGCAGATGAAAAAAGTTCAAGTCACCATCACCAATAGTATGAAGCGTTGAAATCAATACTACCATGGTAGGTTTAGTGTAAGGACGAATCATTTTTGAATATTTATGAATTTCATGTATTTAAACGATTTTAAAGGATCGCCTAGCAAGGATCGAAATAACCAACTAGACTTCTTTATTTCGACTAGAAAGGCAGATATTCATTAAGTAAAGGTGTCTAATTAGTTATTTCATTTGTTGCTAAGGTAGGTGACCTTTTAATTCGCTCCAAGTGCTTCGACAAATCTAAGTACCACTAACGGCCATCTTCATATTGATCTGATGACCAGTTTCTAGTATATGTTTTGCAATCGATAAGGAATAAGTTTGTGACCTGCACTTATTCAACTGTTAGAGATCATTTGTTTTTCGAGCCATTTAGAGATGTAATCAGTCATTCTTAACTGGATGTCACGATTACTCCTCTCTATACATATATCTATCCACCCATATATGCAAATTGATAGACACAATGGGATGTCATACACTTGTTCAAATGCTGTTTAGCTTTGTGTGGAAACATGGATTCAAACCGCAAAACCACCGGGATTCATAGCTCAGTTGGTAAAACACTGAGCCGAAAACCTGATAGTCGCCAGGTTCAACTCCTGCCGCGGTTCAAGTTTTCACCTTCAATCACTAGTTTGTCAAACCACGGTTATCTCAGATATTCAAAACGATAATCAATATGATGTTCCCCCCCCCCTCATTCATTGAGATTTGGATTTGGATGAGAAGTCCTGACCCTGACTGCTAAACCAGTATGAGTATGATCAAGTGGTAGTAATACACCACGTTTTCACATAGTAATCGGACAAAGCCCTTAGTGATTGAAGTGAAATAAACATCTGTTCAGCTGTCGGACCTCGTACCTTCGTTGATAGAGCATCAGGTTGGAAACCCAGTGGTTACTGGTTCGAATCCTGCCGCAGTCCAAATCTTCATTTCACCTTCAATCATCACATTTTTTTTTACTCAGGGGCAGAATATTGATTAGTTGGTTTGAATGCTATACCGATTTTACATCTGCAATGTATACCGCTAATAAATCATCATATATGATATAACGAGGTGGAGAGGAAAATGTAAGAGAACTAAGGTGGTAGATGGAAAGGATTTGTAGCTCCGGATGAGGATAGGGGTGGTTCGATGTTCGCCAACCTACGATATTTTGTCTTGGATCTTTCATCATTGAACCTCTTTATGAAGTTAGCACAAAAGATGCTAGCAAATCTGGTGTTGAACAGTTCGTGATCGAATATTCAAAGCGATTTGAAGTATACATTATCAAGTGACCGAGTGAATAATAAGAAGTCTGCTAACCATATTAATGTAATGCAACACTTCAACGTGATACAAATGGCAACTTGTCTTCCTGAGTATGTCATATATCACCGAACTATAAGAATACCAGAAGACAAAGACTGACCTTTGATTGTAAGTAAGACACTTTATGCTACACAAATACATTATTTATGTACACTCTCTGTATATGTATAAAACCACTAGGTCAAAAGTTAAATGGCTTACTCTGATTGGTCAGCTTTAAGACAAAATTGTCCAATAAGGTTTTTCTTGACCACACAGTAACATGAAACTTCTACGTTAGCGTAGTCGATTTCCATTTAGGCGGCTTCTTATCACATTCAAAGAAGTATTCAGTACTTTCGTTTGAATTCTAAGTTACACGATCTCCCCTTCCTCATTTGGAGAGTTGTAGGGTATCAAAAGACACTAACCTAATACAAGTATCTTTCATCCCATGGTGCCACATCATACACTTATCATCTATGCGCTTCTTCAAACCAGTCTTAGGACGCGCGAACAATGAATGGTATGGAAGCCCATGGTGCGACATTCACTACACACATGGTAGCCACCAAATCCGGTGACTAGCAATCTCTGTTACGTTCAGGTTTTCACCCCCCCTTACCTCAAGATTACCTACATGATGTTTTAGTCGGATGCTAGCCATCCTATGTTGAGACATAGTTACTCTTCGGCCACACAATACTGTAAGTAAATCTGTGCGAAGTTGTTACCACAGCACGTTCTACTGAATGCATCTATTATTTTTATATGTTTGTCCCTTCTGAAACGTATACTATTGTTTACACTCTTTACTGACATAAGGCAACAATTAAAGAATATCGTAGATAATTATGAATTCTGAGTTGTATACATCATTAATGATGGGTAGTGGTTAGTAGTGGAATCTGGGACTTGCGTTTCATCAGCTGGATGTACTTGTATCCCAGTAACTGATCGATTTATTCCAATCAACAATGAATTTTCACAAGGTATAACGTCAAAATTACATACAGTGTGATTCTAATGGAAATTGTCATAACACACCTTGATCATTGAACAATGAATTGAAACCACACAAAACTGCATGTTTATACATTGTGTTTTCAGAAGTGGCTTTGCGAATACGCCATTAAGGGAAAAGTAGATGAATTTCTTGGTTGTGTTGTGTTCTCTGATCTGGATGGTTTAATCATGAAGCTTTGATTGTCTTTCTAGACGATATCATCAGCGCTAATTTCAAATCGTCCAGTAACTTGCCCTGACGAACTGGTTTGTGATTTTTTATTTCCTTTGATTGTTGTGTCATTGGCTGTATAGATTTTCCTATCGGCTCTTCTTCTGCTTGACATCTGACCTTTCTGTCGTTTATCCTTTTTCTTATTGGTTGGTAGATTGGGTCTATGTCTATACAACTATTCATTGCTGACTGACTGACGTGAATGTCAAGCTTTTAGGAATTCTCTGATGACATTCTTTGTGTTTCCTGTGTCCAGGATCTCCAATTTTTTCATGTTAAATTCATGACTATAGTTATCCATGTGCATTGATATGACTGATGAAATGTCGTGGGGTTTAATAGACAATTGG